CTGCCCTTCCTCACCATGCCCGTGTTTCTCCTTAGCTGCTTCTTCAGCCTTACATCTTCCAGACATGGTCAATCTGCAAGTTGGCACTTAAAGTTTTGTAAACAGTAATATAGTGGTTTAGTGTTCAGAGCTTGTGGATGTCCCCTGTCCTACTTCAGGCAGCATGTGCTCGTTATGCCTGTTTTGCAAAAGAACAAACAGTATTTCAATTATTAAACAGATTTCTAAAAATGTACTTTTGGTCTCTGGTTTTTTTTTTTTTCTTTTTCAGAAGCAAGTTACTTTTATATTTAGTACAGACTTTGTTTCTCCTCAGGAAATACTGGTACAATACTTGATAATGATTTAGAAGTTATTAAAATTGACAGGAACATAGTACTGTTAAGAAATAACTGTAAGTCTTCTGTACAATTCTTCCGATCATGTCATGCGTTCATTTAGAAAATCCACCTTTTGATGTCTGGTTTTTTAACCTGTGAAGTCCTAAGCTTTGGAGGTGGAAAAGGTAACCTTGGGGACTGCAGGATGCTAAAATATCTTAAGAGAATATTAGATGGTTTTAAGTATTGTGATAGAAAACATTTCAGACTAAAGACAAGTCACATTTTCTTATCTCATTATTTGGCATGGCTTTACTTTTTCCAAATATGTTGAGAAAATCTGTACTGTTTGTATGTGCCTGTCATTTCCCTGAAATATGAGTTCCAGAATTCTGGTTTTTAATCAATTAAATTGTATTAATTAAGAACAGCAACAACTAAAACAGCACAATCAGAAAAATATTTGAAACCACAAGAATGGAGAGTATTTTCATGTGATGGTGTTCCACAGAGGAGCAGATTTGAGCTTCCTGAGCCAGCTACTTTGTACAGCAGAGTAAAATATCACTAAAGCTATGAAAGCTACCAGGCTTTTTAATAGAGCAAAATGGCAATGTAAAATGTCCTTTTTTCTGTCTCAGATATCAAGTCACTTTAAAGCAGAATAGGTGAGTTTCATAAAATGCATATTGGTAATTTTTTTACTGGATACGCTTGCGTGCTGAAATTATATTCAAAATACACAAAATGCTTCGTGCCAAGAAAATGACTCCATGGTATGACCATCTGCAAAGCAGAAAATACTTCTGGGCAGATTTGGAACTCAGCATGTGGTCCCTGCTGCAGACAGTGCAGTAACTAATTTTACAAGAGATCAGCCTGGCTCTACACTGGTTTTTATCTGAGCCTAACTAATGAAACAGGATGTGGCTTAGAAAGGTGTGATGTGTATCTGTGTCAAATAACTTTCTAACTGGAAAGGAAGCAAATGTGGTTGCCTCCAACTTTTCCAAACTCTGTGCAATGTTTCGCCGTGCAGATATGTGCAGGACTTCTGCCTTCCTTGGGCAAGCATTTCCACACAAGAAGCTTACGTCTGCCCTGTACTGCCTGGCCATGCAAGTCAGAAAGAAATCTTTAGGCTGTCTTTTCCACATCACCAGACTATCTGTGTAAAGACACCCCTGCCCCCATCCTCCTAGAATGTTCTGAATGGAGTGATCTGGGAAGTGTCATAGAATCACTGAATTTTTGGAGTTAGAAGGGACCTTACAGATCATCTAGTTCTAACCCCTGTTTCATGACTTTCACCGGACCAGGTTGCTCAGAGCCCCGTCCAACCTGTACTTGAACTCTTCCAGGGATGGGACATCCACAGCTTTTCAGGGCAACCTGTGCCAGTGCATCACCATCCTTACAACACAGAATTTCTTTCTGACATCTAATCTAAACCTGCTCCCTTCCAGTTTGAAGCTGTTTCTCCTTGTCCTATCAATACATATAAAAAGTCTGTAAAAAGTTTCCCTTTATCTTTCTTGTAGGCTCCCTTCAGGTACTGGAAGGATCCATTTAGGTCACCCAAAAGCCTTCTCTATTCCTGTCTCAAAATGCCAATTCTCTCAGCTTTTCCTCATAGGGCAGGTGCTCCCTCTAACCATTTTGGTTGCCCTTGGAAAAAAATGCCTATCAGTGCAGTGGCAGATATTCAGCTGTTCTATTTTGTCTTGTTTTGTTCACATACCTCTTTCAGACTTCTCAACTCCCACACAGGAAAAGTACTGTGCCCTCTGTTGCAGGTATGCAAAGGGTTGATGCCAGGGCACTCTGACCTTGCTTATGCAGAATTGCTCTCCGAATGTATTTTCTGATGTTCCCAGCATTCTCACTAAAAGCATTCTTAAATTAAACTCTGCAATTGCTCGAATACATTCAGTATTCACAGAGTTTCAGAAACTGAAGAGCCACAGCATGGCCACAGCCTTTGAGAACATTGAGTTCAGTAAAACTGAGGTATTTTACTAAAATGAAGACAGGTAGCTGGAAACTTTGTTCCTGAGTGAGAGGACATGTAGCCCAGGCTTTCCATGGCTCAGTGCTTTCCCTGGTTTGCCAAGGCAGAGTGTACAAGGAGTAGCTAAGGCTGCTTTGCCATATTTCTGCCCCGAGCTCAAGCCTTCTCAGCGTTTCCACTCCTACACCTAAGTGGCAGTTTTGGTCGACAAGGTCTTTGAGTCAGATGAATCTATTGAGTAACACACTTCATGTCTGATTACAAGGAGCTGGCAGACAGTAGAGGTAGTAGTAAAACCACTATGAATCCCAACCCTGTACTAGAAAAATAACAAGATTGTACACAATTTTTGTCAGATGCAGTGGCTTGAAAAACTCTCTTTTATTCCATGTTGCCACTAGAGAGAGAAGATGGTGGAGGCAAATAGGAAAAGAAAGGAAATTACATCCGAATTTATCCCTCAAGCACAGTTCATATCTCTGAAATACAAGCCTATTCTGTGAGAGGCAAAACCTGTCAGGTGTCTCAATGCACCAGCTGGACCACTGGGGAAGACAAAGAGGATGAAGTGTTGGTGATGTCTCTGTGAGAGCAACTTAAAGCCAAAATGCCAGGGAAGATAAGACACACATGGTGAAGCAAGAGGCATGAGTCTTAAAGACAGCAGTGGGCTGGAGGCTGTCACTGGCTGGGACTGCTCACCCCATTGCCTCCAAAGGATTTGGTTCTGTGGAAAAAAAAAGAGTAAGGAAACCACAAGTAGCTCAGTAGCCAAAGGGGATGACTCTCTAAAACATGGTGTCTGATTGTTTGTCCTGAGCCAAAGAAAAACATTCTTAGTGAATTCTTCATTTGAGAAGAGTAATATTCATTTCTCCTGATCACATTTCCAGGAGTAACCTATGTCTCAGTAGCATGGTGATCACTATGCATGATGTGCTTTTTTTTCTAAGACACATCAGGGCTGCTCCTTTAAAGCAACTGATTTTTACTTTCTCTGTAAGAAAAGTTAGTAACTACTTTAAATAAAACACTTGCTTTGAATCAAAAAAACATTGTGGTGAATGTAGGAACTAACTACAAGCACTGAACTGTGAAATGGAGTGCTGTTGTAGCTATAGTGGTCTGAGTGCATATGCAAGGCAAGGTTTGTAGTGAGAGGCAATTTTATTAGCCAAGCAGATGTAGGTAGGGGGGGAAAACATTCCCAAAAAATAAGCTGTGGAACAAACAAGCTCTCTTCTAGACCTGAAGAAAGAATTGTATGCCTGAAAGCTTTTTTGACCATTCTTGCTGTAAATCTCACGCTTTTTCAGAAGGGCAGGACTGTAGACCTGCTTCAAGCCCCTGTTCACTGTCGCAACCACCCACCTCCCAAAACATAATAAATTCATGTGATTCTTTCAGGTGATTCAAACTTTGGATTGGGCCCTAGGTAAAAGCATAACTATATAGCACTTACTGATTGCAACCAGATATAATCTGTGACATTTCCTGAGCCATTATACATTGAATACTGATAAATATATGAATTTCTCTCCTGATTAATTTGTTGATCCTGTGCCATCACCCAATGCATAGTTGAAACACACTGCATATGGCACAAAGTTAACATCTTTTATGTTTTTATCCAGGTGATGCTTCAAGGTTTTGGTTATTTTGACTGTTCTTTAGCTTGTAGTTCATTGTCTCCCATTCTGTTGTTTTCTATTTGCTTGTTGCATAAGGTATTGTTATTTGCATGGTCTGGGCTCTAAATATAATGTCCTGTTAGTCTCAGTACATATTAAAAATAGTTGTTTAACAAGGTTTGGAGCCACCTTTGCTCGTTCCTGTGAAATGAGGAATTCTTCTGCAGTATCAGTGGGACAGGCCTATTATAGCTTTGTTTGTCGTGTTCAGAGGAAAGTCTCTACATGCACAGGAGCAAATTCTAAACCTTGACCAGACTGACTATTCAGAAAATAAGCTGGTAAATCATGAAAGGAACTACAAGATTTGCTTGTAGCAGTATGATTTCAAGAGTTTTTGTGGTATACAGTTACTCTTCTATGAGAGGGTGTAGCTTCAAATCATTTTTGAACATGCATTTCTTTCAGTCAACCCAAGTGCAATGGGATGAATGAAGCAATATTACAAAACTGAAGCAAAATGTTGGTGGCATTAATCTTGCTTACAATATAAAAATAAGGCCACTGATAAATTATTCAGATTGTACTGAACAGATATCAGTTAAAATTTTGTACATCACATGTATTATATACAACATGCATATTACCAGGAATGTTTTAGGGTTCTAATGCTATCTAAAGCCTGGTGGTTTTGCTCTGACTGGAAAAATGCATAGTATAGTAGTGACAAAAATGATCCTTTCTAACTCTTACATTACAAGAAACGTTTTTTTTTTTAAAAAAAAAGGTGTTAAGCAATGTACAAAACTGAGACTTGGAAGAAGGCATTAAGGCTAATATTTCTATTTACAGTGAGAAAAATCTCTTTTTAATAGTACAAGAAAACATTTTCTTTTTGAGGAGGAAGCTAACTGACCTGCTAACTATCCTCACTTGTAAGCAGAAATATGGTCTGAAGCTGTTCTCTCCAGTGCATTTGAAGCGTAATGAAGAAATCCACACATTAATTTGCCATAAAGCTATTTTCTGTCTCTTCAGGGAAGCAATCAGTCGTGTTTGTGAAGCCGTGCCTGGTGCCAAAGGAGCCTTCAAGAAACGAAAGGTATTTTTCTTTTCTTGTAGTGCAGTTGACTCTATTTTCTTAGTTCAGCACAGAGGAGACCGGGCACAGCAGGCAGGTGACTTTAAAGCAGCTTTGAGAATTGCAGATCATTAATCACGTAAAGTGTTGGCTGTTTTCACCCACGGTGTGTTGTCGCTTGCCCTTTTCATCAGGATCTGCTTTTCTAGGCATCTGGAAGCACAAATACATCTTAGGATGAAGATTGTGCCTTTATGTGGCTCCTGTAGAAACCCCCTCCTTTTACTTTATTTTTTTTTTTTTTTTTGTAGGTCACATGTGGGAGAGTTAAAACAAAAAAAAGGGATGGCTTTTAACAAAATGCATGAGTAAATCATGGAAAAAGGTGCTGGAAGGTAGAGCAGAAGCCAAAAACATACATAGTTCTGAAAGTGGTTAGGTCAGTTCTTTGAGCATAGCTCTACTGGTGACATTTAATGAGTTTGGTCATCACTGATTCCTGGGAATAGAGAGAACATATCAGGTGATTGTTTTCTCCCCATGCTCTTTCCATGTGGCTGATGCTCAGTGGCCAGCACTTACGGTGAGCCCAGTGTGTCCCTGACACGGTTATTGTCATGCTTTTATTTTTATTTGTGTGGTAGGAGTTAGAATCTTCAGACAGGGAGCAGAGGAAGCCTTGGCTCAGTTCGTGCACTGGTGGCTCTCAACAGTCTTGCTCTGCCTGCTCTTCCAGAGGCCTGCTGGCAAAGCTGGGATATATTGCTAACTCTGAGGGAAGAAGCATAGATAATTATAGCCCGTGTGTGAGATCTTGGGCATAAGAGGAGAGTGGGGGTTGAATAAAAGGTTCTGTCCACTCCTCCACCTGCTGCACCATCTAGGCAGTGTCTCAGTAGAAAGGGATGGGATGAAATGCCACTTGTTTGCAATGGAGGATCTTCCTCTGGTAAAACCAGGCGTATGTGACAACACATGTCACGGCACAATTGGAAATTGTCTCAGAAATTAGGGTTGTGGTTTCCCCACGACCACTTTTATCACACTGGCATCTCTTGGTTCTCTGGATTTTTGTTTTAATACTGAAAGTAAAGACAAAAGTATATATTTTTTTTTTTTACCTTGGAAAGCAAAATGACACAAAGTACAATTGGAAAAGTGAGTTAAACGGAGTTCCACCTGCCTAGTGAGACAGCTTGCTCTGTTATGGGTTTTAGAAGCAATACTGTTTGCTAGTTATTGAGAAGGAATAGCAACAGAACTTAGCTAAACATCAAATACAGGTCTCTTTTGCTGGTCTATACGTTCATCATGTTTTTGCCACTGGTGGCTTATCAAATTGGTTGGGGTGACATGTAGTTCCTGAGGGCATGTTTTCACATTTTGACTGCACTGTGGGCACGTGATCCTTAGGCACCACCTGGGAATCATGAAGGATTAAGGAAAGAAGAGATATACAAGAATATTCAAAGGAGATTGTTTTATTGAGAAGTTAATGAAGTACTAGCTCTGCAATATGACCATGTTAAAATAGTGCAGCACAAACATCACATGGGAGCAGTACACAGGTAGTGTATTTTTAATCAGTTAAACAGAAGGAAAAGAAGCTAAAACTAAATGTATGTAAACTTTTAAGGTCTACAGAAGCACAGGTGTGTCCATCCTGCTATGCATAGAACTTTCCAAGCTTGCAGGCAGCTTAGGACAAATGCAAATACAGTGGCAGAAGAACACTGCCTCCAGTCACAGCTTTACTTTTATATCTTAATAACCAGCATAAATATTCACAAGTGGAAATTCAGCAAGTAGAAGGACTTGGTCTGTTACTGCTGGGCACCATGATTTTGTACAGGCTGTGGTTTACCTGAGTGAGGCTGCTCTCACACAGATTTGTGGTTCCCCAAAGCTGTCAAAGATGAGAAGTTTGTGATTTTTGCTTTGTCAACATAACTTATAGACTTGCTACAAAAACTCCTGAGGGCTAGTGAAATGCCTGCAGAAGTTACCAGTATTGTTACATCCCCTTTGTTACATTTCAACACTTTGTACTTATTCTCTGAGTTAGGAGTAATCTTTACCTGCGTGTGGTACCGCAGCATACTGAGATTTTGTTTAGCCTATGTCTGGGCTTTTGCCTGCTGCTAAGAAGTCCACAAGCAAAATCTTAGAATGGTTTGGGTTGGAGGAGATCTTTAAAGGTCTTCTAGTCAATAACACTCTGTATCCCATTTTGTAAGCATCCCATCGGTGTCACTGAAGTCCCACTTTCCATGTGGGGAGTGAGTGGTTAGAGAAGTCAGTGGATGCAGAGTACAGATTTCTTTTCAAGAGTTGAAGCTGTTTTTACAGAATAAGAACATTATCATTTTAAGATACTGACTGAAGGCATTTATCTTAGTCTGCTTACTTGGTTCCTTAGTGATGGTGAGACTTTGCTGTCTTACAACCCCCCTATTTTCTATCAAGTCTTCTTTTATATCATATATTCTTGTTTTGTTAGGTCAAGAGTAGATGACTACCTGCCTAGCTACTCTCATTAGTAGAAGCAGTAGTAGTATAAATGAGAAATCATTTCCAGGGGGAAGCAGCTGTTATGAGTAAATGTTCTTTGAAAGTCATAAACCTTTTAGAAGCCTTTCAGATCATGGCTAACCCTGCATACAAGGAAGGTCATCCCAAATAAACAGAGAACAAAAATCTGCTTTTTTTCCCCCCCCTCCTCACAGCCACCAAGCAAAGTCCTTTCTAGCATCTTGGGAAAGAGCAATCTTCAGTTTGCAGGAACGAGCATAATGTTGAATATCTCCACCAGCAGCTTAAATCTAATGAATCCTGATACGAAACAGGTGAGTGCAACTTCTGTACTAATTTGTAAGGCTTTTGATGAACAGTCTGCTGCTATCTGTCAAATACTCAGTTGCTCAAAGTTATTATTCCTCAATAATGTCTATAAAATGAATAAAAATGAAATATGAATCATAGTAGAAGTCAGCTTATTCCAGTATTCAACACAGCTTTCATTAATTATTTCCTTCTTGCCCTGTTTCTGGTAGATTGGTTTTGCTCTTATAAGACCTATGACATGAAATGTCATTTTCTGGTCATGGTAGTTCTTATTGGGTACAATTACAAACTTGCAGGGTGGTACAAGGGATGTACTTGGAGTAAACAACTAAAGGACTGAATGTACATCCCCAATTTCACTGTTTTCTTTCCATTTAGAGCCTAAAAGGGCAAACTGTTCCTGAGGCACTGCTAAAAATACAGCCTTGGGCATTTTGCAGCGCAATGAAAGGCCAGTCTTTCAGAGAGACAAGGCAGCCTTTTTTCAAGTAGCTTATTCCTTCTTCTTCACTGTGCTGAAGGTACAGATGCACTTTGGGGAATCACTGCAGTGGTTTGTGAATGATGTATGAGATGAGAAAAATCCTTGCTCAGGGTATACAAAGAGAAAGCAGATGGACATGCGTAGTCACTGCTGTGCTATTTGCTGTGAGCCACATATTCTGTTAGGGCACAACGACTTTCTGCCCAGATACAGCCAGAGAGGAAAACAATAAAGTTCCTACTGTCCTTCAGGGCTTCAGGATTAAAGAATGAGAAAGAACATGTACACTGTCAATTAAAAAAGCTTGCTGATTATTATTATTATCATCATGTTTTCATTCATTCATTGTCATCCTTGCTTAGAAAACATCCAGATCTCCTGCAGTGAGCACTGAGACACTGAGAGCAGTGCTATGGCTGGATGCAGCAGTTTGTAGCCTTACTATGGAATATACACAGCAGTGCCTCTCACAGGGACAGTTGCCCCCAGTCAGAAACACAGGAACTTGATGTTAATTAGATCTACTAAGAAAGTGCCAAGCCCTGAAAGTCGACTCGTCTTCAGCCAGTGCCAGGGCAGAATTGTAGTTAAACTGATTTATTGCAGAGCAGACTCATCCCCCAGATGTTTTGCCTTTTCTCTGAGTTGACAAAACTCTTCATCTTTCTCTCACATAATTCTTTTTGAGATAGACTGTTCTGGGTGCTGCTGGCCTGGGAAACGTCTGGTTTCTCAGAGATCCGTAGTGTGGCTGTGGTCTCCCCTGTTTCTTATTTGTGCCAAGCATTTGATTTGCAAATAAGAATGGCCCAGCAGCTTTGCCCTTTGAGGCCCCACACAGGAAGAAGGCTGTGAACTTCTGTAATAGCCTCTTTTTCCCAAGGGAGCTGGAAAGAAAGAAAAAAGACAAGACAGCCGTTGTTGGCCCTGAGGGTAGAAGGAAAGAAATTGCCTGTGCTGCAGCAACAGTTCAGTGAATATGTTAGGTAGGGCTGGGTGGAAGATGGTTTGTTTTGTATATTTCTTTAAAAAAACAAACTGACTTGAACTAATGGCTTCAAGCACTTTTCAGTTTTCTCAAAACTTGGAAAAAATTAGCTTAGAGACAATCTAAAATAATTTTTGTTTTGTATGATGCTGGAGTAAAAAATTGGGTTATTTGCACAAGTCAGGGTAGTGACAATATTAAATGTGTAACAGATCTTCACTAGTTCATTTCTATTGTTAAGATTACTTCTTCTTTATGGGAAAAAGTGAAGGATATCCTCACTGATGAGTAATGGAACACTAATTCACCAGTGAACACTTAAAAACTAACTACATCTTCAGAGGCTGCTGTTAGACAAGTAGGGCTATTGAAAATGAAGTGCTCTTTACATGAAAGAAACACTGCAAATAGTTATCAACTCTCTCTGACTTAATGAAGCAGCAAGATCCAGACAAAGTCGTGCCAGGCTTTTTTCTTTCCAAGGAAGGTAGTTACTAGTTCAGGTCTTTAAGATGGAGGATAGGGAAAACATCCCAGAGAATATATTTCAACCTATTTTTTTTTCCAAAACAGTTTTCTAAAGTATGTGGTTCCCTCTCCAAACTGAGATACTAATTCTATTGTCATGTGCTTTGAGGCACTAAATAGAGGCCTGTCCTTTCCTAGATGAATTCCTTGGCATGGCTTATGTGACTCAAATATCAAGTGAAAGTTTCTTTCAAATGACCTTTTCTTTCTTGATTATTACATGATTTCATTATTAAAAGATTTCATAAGTTAAATCTCAGAATAGCAGAGCTGTTCTGCTAGTATTGTATGTTCAGGACAATTTGTCTCTTCCCAGAGAAATATTGTATTAGTTCAAATTGTACATAAGCAATTTGAATTTCAAATGCCCTGGATTATGCCTGTGATTTTGTCCACAATGCTACAGTGCAGCTAGAGTCAAATTTTTGTTTGCATATTCCAAACATGTTGATGTTTGAAACATAAAATGACACAGTGGGTGTTGGAAACGATGTTAGGAACCCTAGCTGGTGTACAGATTGGCATGGTTTCATTGATTTCACCAGAGTGGCATCAGCAGAAAAATGTTTTGATGAATAGGACCTTTTGCTTCATTCATCGTTGTCTGCAATAAAGAAAGGGAGGTTTTGCTGATTAAAATTTCTCCAAAGATACTGTCTGACAGATCTGTATGATTTACTGGAGTTCTGAGCACATTTAGCAATTTTGCAGTGTCCTGATACATTTTAAAGAACACCAGGATAGATTCATTGATCCTTCCGTTTGTTTATATTATTGTGCTACTCTTTTTTACTCCTTGTGGATAATTTTGATCCTGATTTTGGATTTTCACCTGTATGCAAGGCAGAAAAGAAATCAAAAAATGTGTAAACTGTAAGAAAACTATCTGACTTACACTTGTTCTTTCTGATCCATACAGATCATAGCAAATCACCACATGCAATCTATTTCCTTTGCGTCTGGAGGTGACCCGGTAAGCATTCCTTTGAAGCCTTCCCCCCACGTGGATACTGCCTTGTGAGGACTGTGGGACACAATTTATCGCATATCCTACTGAAAGAAAAAAAAAATACGGCCACAGTAGCTCCTGTTTCTTGTTTCATAAATTCGTCTTGATTGTTGCCATCAAACCCTTTTTTGAGGGGAATGACTGACAAGCATTCGTAGATCCTCCTCTTTGAATGACTGAAACAAAAAAGTATCAAGGGGTTGAGAGCATTTATATAGTAACTGATAAGCATCTCTTTGTTTCTCTGAGTAATGTGGTACAGTCATATGGGATTGTTTGCATTTTTATCCTGTTTTTAATTTGCACTTTTTACAGTAGTAGACTATGTTGCAGTTATAGTAATGAAGCGCTTTTTTTTCCTTCTCGTCTTTAAGTGTGCATTGAGAAGACTACTAAATACTGCTGCACTCATATGGCTTGAAGACAGGCTTTCAGGAAGCACAGATCTTACTTTCTCATTTTGCAAAGCTTTCGGTTTCCAATTCAGCTTTCAATTTTACCCATTTGGTTCATTTGGAGCAAAGGGCAGATTCCTGCCTGTTGTGCTTTTCCTTAGTTTTATAAGCTGTCTATTGAAGGTATATTAATAAATGTGCTTAAAAAGTATTTGTCACTCAGGAAGCAATGGGGGAATTATAAAATATTGACATTGCTCACCTTTTACCTTAGAGGTTTGAAAGCTTTTAAACCTAGATTAATTGAATGAGTGCCTTTTCCTCCATCGTATGATCATCCATGATTTATCAGTCGTGTGCTACAGGTAAGGCAATTTCTAGCCTGCTTTGTGAGTTAATTCTTGCAGTTCAACCCTGTTAAGGTAAAGATCCTTGACGCTTCCTCTGTTCATTTAGCTACCCTCAGGAAATGTAAAGCCAATCTTTAGTCTTAGTATAGCTTTGCAGAGTTCAATGCAGTTACAGAAGGGAAAAGGACACCATATCATAATGATTTGGGGAACAAAATATGGATCAACAACAGCTTTGAAATACAACAGATTGCAATGTATGCTGTAAATGAACAATTCCTGAAGTGGGCAGAGGAGTGATTAGCACAGTTCCCTGCCTCCGTAAGAAGATTCTTCGCTGCCCATCTGCCATCCCAAATGCTAAGTCCTGGAAACACCATTTCACTCTGCCCACTGCTAGAGTGATTTACCAGGAAAGAGGAGAGGAGCAGCAGTAGAAGAGATTGGATTTGGAGTAAACAAGCTCTTCCAAATGTTTTAGAGAGATAAAAATCACGCTACTGAGTCAGCGAGCTACCAGAGAAATAAAATTGTATGGTGGAAAGGAGCCTACAAGATATGGTGAGATTGTAAAGTTGTTTTCCTGATAAGACTACTAATGCATGAATTCATTCTGACGTTGAGGGGAAGAGGGTAGCTATGAGTATCTAATGATGCTCTACAAGTTTATCTTAGTGGTCTAGTATCTGGCTTGATACTATAAGCTTGAACAACCATAAGCTTGTTCATAAAGCAGGTGGTTCCTTTGTCCTGGATGTGTGTAGAAGAAGACAAGGTGCGAGGATGTGGTTTAAGTCACAGTTTTATTTACTCATAAGAGGGTCATCTAGACACCACTTTCATCAGCCCTTAGTGATTTCCACTTGGTGGAGGACTGCTGCCACCGAACTGTGTCTCCCAGCCACAGTTGGGCTCCAGCCCATAAGCTCACCTCTTTATATGAAATTTAAACTGGATAGAGAAGGGTCATAGTGAACTAGGAACCTAGATCTGAGCCCATGTTTTTTCATGAAGTACTTCCCTTAGTTTGAATTTTGGAGTTTGGTTTATTAGGAAGTGAGACTACCCTCACTTCTCTACCCCATCCACCTTTATACTCTGGCTATCTGCCTCACATTCACGGCAGAAATTATCTTCACAACTTTCCACCCACTCCCTTACTGTTAATTATCTTGTATTATTCAAAATGTAACCACTGGAGAAGTGTTCCACAGTCTTGGAGAACAGCTTGAATACCATATATATATATTTGAAATATTCCCATTTGCAGTGAGTCAGTTTCTGGCTGTGTCAGTACATGGCAGCTTAAAAACGTCCCCACCAAATCCTTTACACACCATTTCAGAACAATTTTTAGTTCACTTCCAAGGCTGTGTTCTGGATCTGCTTTAGCTCTCTTCAGCCCCTCCTTATGATACACTAAACAATTTTCACCCATAGTAATTTCAGGCGGCTGTTTCCAGGCTGCTAGACAAGACATCTGTTTTTGGAGATATCTGCTGAAATGCCAGAGTGGAGGTTTTCATAAGGTCTAATAAGGCAGGTCTCTCAGAGGTCCCTGAAGGCAGTAGTTTTTCTGTTTCAGCCACACCTCCAAATTTTACCACCACGATGCAGTTTCTTAGGGGTAATTACGGCTCATTCATACTTGTTTTCAGTCCTTAAATGTCAAGGACCACTTTGTTGCATCAGCCCATCTTTGTGTAGTTTTTGGATGGGAATCTTCTAAATTACCCACTGTGGAATGTGCCCGCATTAAGTCCTTAATGATTTATCATAGTCAACTTCAATCTGAACTTTAGAGGTAATAACGAGTTGGTAGTTCCAGACTGTCACGTCCACACTAGCTGTGAGATAGATCTATGATTTAGTCAGCCATTAATGCATCCATTAGCTGTGCCTGAACCAGTAAATAAATTGATCTGTGGCCCATTTTCTGGCCCTTCTGGCCCTGCAACTAAATAGCACAGTGAAATTTCCATCCAAACATTCACCCTCTTCCCTCATAGTGGCCTCTTGGGATTGATGCCCAGCACATGCTGGTCCCTCAGAGAGTTTCAGAGCATGGCGTGAGAAAACAGCACAGAGGGGCATGAGAGAGTAGCAACAATAAAACAGTATGGACAACAGTGAAACAACTCTCAGGCCTTCATCTTGGCTCTGTTTTATCTGTTACTATAGACATAGTCACTTTTCTTGTCCCCTTACTTTTTGATATGCACCCTTATCTGCATTTTAGTCGTTGCCCAGGCACTGCGTCACAGGATTCATCGGAAATTACTGGACAAAATATTAGGGCCATTCTATTCTACTTTTTTTTATAGGCCAACCTCACTGCTGCTGTGCCTGAGTGTCTTCCAATAGTCTATTAAGTGATATGGCTACACATCTGTTACTAGAACCATGAATTTGCTTCATCATTTCCCTTGCTCTCTCCTTAGGATGGAAATTGTACAGACATGCAGCACAGTGATTTGTTTTGGGTGGGTGGCTGTGGTGTGTGTTTGCACTAGAGAAAGCTAAGCTGAAGAAGCCTGTCTTTTAACTGAAGGTTCATGTTATGGCATTAGATCTTGGCATAATTGCCAATGATCTGGGATCAGTGAAAAGGCTTTGGATAGAGTTATACTGCCAGCTGTAGTGTATCCCTCAGGTTTAGCTACACCTGACTAGCCAGGCATGTCAGGAAACACCAGATCTAACCAGGACTTCATGATTGCATCAGGGCTGTGTGGCCTAAATGTTTCCCAGAAACACTGCCCCTTCTGTTCCATCTGCACAATGACACAAGTCTGCGCCACTTGTGGCAGGAGAGGAAGCAAAAAATCCTTGAGGAAAATGTCTGCCTACTCTTGCCCGAAAATCCACGTGGCATGTGGCAACGAGTGTGGCAAGGAGCAGCCCACGGGCTAGGGGAGAGCGTCCTGGGATTCTGCTTGTCACAGCCAAGCAGGGGCTGACCACCTCTGTGCCATATGGCGTAGTAGTCAGTAACACACCTGCTTTCACACACGAATAAATGCCATTGCTCAGTATTTCTGGGGAGCAGGGCTGTCACTCCCACTCTTTCTGCCACAGAACCGGTTGATTATTTATGTTCTGAACCAAAATCTCTGGGCAGTTTGAAAATAAGGACTTGTAATTCTACTCCCTCCTAAATGAGGCTTGATCCAAATCCTACTGAGTTTGTTTAATGGATTCTCAAAGGCCTTGGAAGAGATTTTTAAATTCTGCTGGAATAGATCATATTCTGGAGAAAGTGGTGCAATCAGTACCAAAACCCATAAACATTTATATGGGGTTTAAGTAGTATACAACTGTAGAGCAAAACATGTCATTTGAAGCTCTACACACAGGAATATACATACTCTGGACTGTGATCTTTTGCTATGATCAGTGCAAATATTTTTTTGCATTCATTGTAGATATCTTAATTTTTTGACAGGATACAACTGACTATATTGCATATGTAGCTAAGGATCCTGTTAATCGGAGAGGTAAGTTAGAAATACCTGTTTGACATCTGTTTTTCCTTTGAGAAACACAAATTATTCATGGTTTAAGTCAGATTTTTTTTTCTCCGAGAAAATATAAATGCAGCCCAATAAGAAGATTGCCTTTGACAGAGTCACAAAAAGATTGTGTAGCAATAAGAAGCAACAGTTTGGTTCTCAGACTTGGAGCAAGTCTTGCCTCTAGTTCATATCCAAATATCACTTTGATTCTCTTCATCTCTTAAATCAAACACTTGCTTTACTTGGCTGCATGAGCTTCTAGGCAACAGCTAAATCTTACCTACACCCAATCACCATGCAAGAACTAAGCAGTACTCTGATTAAGTCATCTGATGAGGCAGCTGAATCTGTTAGGTCTTCTCAGTATATGCCTAATTCTTCCTGGCAGAATCACATTCTTTATCAAATAGTGAGCTTTCAGCCAGATTACTGTAATTCTCTTTCTCAGTGAGGTTTTATTCAAGGTTGCATTGCTTTAGCAGCAGTCGGTCAGGGACAGGGACCTTCTTGTTGACTGTCTTCAAAATCTAAGATACAGTTCACATTCTCAAAAAATAAACTATAAGAATTGTAAACTACAGTCTGAAATAATAGGTACAAAAGACATTCCTGCTTGTAATGCAGAAAGCATCACTAGGTCTTAATGCAAGATACAAAGTATTGTGTAATATACCTGAGAATCTATTTATTATTTATAGAGTCATAGAGAAGAACAGAGTAGCTCAAAAAAACTCCAAAAAGCTAACTCTGCAAACCCTGAGCTGCCCACCTTACCATTGACACAACTAATTTAGTAGGTTCCACATTTTATCTTTAATGATTTTAGATACCTGAAGAATCTGCTGTGTCCATGTGCAGAGATGTCCAGGCTCGAGAGCACTACCTCATAAATAAATAATACCTGCACTAAACACACTAATATTCTGAATACTGGTGAAACACCTAGAAAACCTATGGGGAATGGGAGGTATGGAGTTAGTCCAGTTCTTTGCAATGGATGATATGTTACAACATCATGTGTCCCCCTTCAGAGAGGCTCCAGCATCAGACTGTAGGATGTGTGGTGCAGAGCTGCTCTCCACCCCACCTGCTTTAGCAGTACCCTTCTGCTAAACCAGAGTCTGATTCAGTTATTCTGAAGTATCTCAGTAACGATGTAGTGGGCTGGCATTGTAGATGGTTGCACTGTAGGGTTTGCAGGAGCCCTGTCCTCTGTTTTCTGTTCCTGTGTGAATGGATTTTAAACAAAAACTGTTTCGCATAATGTGTTCCTTCTATCTTGTGTTGGATGTGTTTAGCCTTAACTTCCTGTGACTGTTCCTTGTTGAGCTGGTCTATCCTAGATTAGAGAGTCATCTGAACACTTCATTCTGTCGTCTTCCTTTGGTGTGCTTAGGTCAAGTAATTTCTCAGTTTTCTTTATGAAAAGATTGACAGTGAACTCTGTAGGTCTTAGCTGCAGTGCACATCCTCCATCCTTCTGCTGATCTCTCCTTCTTTGATCTTTCTGCATTGTTTTAAAAAGGTATAATATACCTTTATAGCAGGAGCTACCAGTACAGTGGAGGCTGCACCTTCCTAGTCTTCCTTGCTTTTGTCCTCATCATTAGCCCTTTTGGCTGCAGTGAAGCACTGTTATCTCGTGTGAAACTCTTTCATGCTGTGATCTTGGAGCCTTCTGCATTTCCTATGGGCACTTTCCCCACTCCTGTATCTACATCAGTGATGTAGATCAGTGACTTTTTATGTGGCCTGCATTAAAACATATTTTTGAAAAGGATCTAATATACCAAGGGATCTGAACTGCCCTCTGTCACCATCACTTGCCATTGTGTCATTCTTTGTGTTATCTGCAAATCGATTTAGAATGGAATTTGTTTCTATATCTAGTGAAAATGTTACTGCTGCTGTTACTGACACTACCACCAATGCTGTAGCATAGCTTCCATATTAAACTCATTTCTTCCCAAGGATGGAAAAGCTGTCTTCATGTTTTGTATTCTGGATCTAGCAAGCTAAAGGCTGTCTATTTTCTGCTGTAACATTCACAAAAAAATCATCTCTGTGTGAGCCAAACCTTCTCAGCCTTTTACAAGAAGCATATCTCCTACCTGCTGAAAGTCCATTCACGTATCCAAGGAAACAGGTTACTCATTATGTCACCTACTGAAACTACTTAATGACTCATGCTTCATTTCAGCTCCGCACAGGTTTAGCAGTGAGCAATGTAGCCTCTTTAAATCTGCACTCTAGTTAGAGAGTGCAAACATCTCAGCTTTGTTTACCCTAACTGCTTTTGGTCCATGTTCATGGGGATGCCACCAGCAGTGGTGCAGAGGGTGCAAACAGCAAATATCCTGCTGCTAGTTGGGGATGTCTGCCTCCACCTTTGGACACATGGAGGTCCTGTTTTTGGTTGCTGAATCCACTTTCAACATGCAGCTAGTGGCCTTTTCCCCTGAATCAGGATTTGCCTCAGCTTGCTGGTCGGCACGGTAGGTGTTATAAGGTGAGAAGAGAACACCACTGTATCTGTTTAGCACTGTGACTGGTGCCATCTCATGCTGTGTGAGGTGCTGCTGAAGAAGAGGCAGCAGGCATTCCATACCTGCACAACTCCAGGTTTCTTGGCTCTTTAGTTTGGCCTCGTCAGATGTCTGTCGAGTGGATCAGCCTCTGAGAAGTCAATTCTAAACCTACTTAGTCTTGCTATGTAATGTTAATTAAAACTATGTCACACAAATGTTGTGACCAACCCTTATTTGTAGGACGTTGGCATCCAAAGCACTTGGTTCCACTAAGCTGGACACTAGGTATGTACTAAAATGCAGTTTTTCAGCTGAAGAGTTCATATTCAGGTTTTAAAGCAGTCTGGGTTGATACAAATTAGTAACTTTGAACAAGGTCCCGCTCTAATGCATAGGACTTGGAAAATAACCAGAGTTTCAAACTCAGTCCAGGGTACAGCAAGTAGACCATGTGCTCATCCAGCTCTGAATGTACAAAATTAATTTGCCTGGACTTTTCCACATATCATGATGAGTGCTGTTCATTCAGATCTGCAGCTTCCAGCTCTTGACACCCATCTATGTTCCTGCAATATTGAGTCAGTGCTCCATGAATTCACCTCTTTGTGTTGTCACATGAGGTGTCTGAGCCACTCGCTGATCTAAAACTGTGGCAGATTTGGGTGCTCAGAGAGCTGACTAAGTTTTCTCAGTCTTCATAGGAAGAGAACTTGTGCTGCCAGCCTCCCTCCCTACTGCATCTGTCGCAGTGGGTTTGGAGAGGTGGCACATGAGGAAGAGCTGGAGTTAATCAGGTTCCTGCCTCTGTGCTCTTCAGTGACCTACCAGTTTACTGGGAGTGTCTCCATGCGGGGAAGCAGGAAAAGGTACCAAGATCTGTACCCCTGGAGTAAGGTCAGGGCCCATGGTCTAGAAAGTATTCTGAGTATACTGCTCCTCCCTCAGACTGTAATTTGGAAAAAGTGAACAGCTTGTGAGCTTGGGGGTGATTACATATAAAACTGAAGTGGTAATAACATTGAGGAAACCCAAGAAAGCTTTTACTGTTATTACCATCTATTAATATTTTGTATTTTCAGCTTAAAGCTTAGAATTCTTACATAATCTATCGCTTTCGGGTAATAATGTGAAATTGTACGAGATCTTTGCGTTTGTGGACTTGTTAAAATAGCAGAACAAATTTGTGATCTTGCCCATGGCAGTTACACACCACTGCAGTTTTATGTAACCTTTACAAAGACACCGTTGCCTGAAATTCACTGTATCATAATTGGTTTTTATTGAAGGGTGCACACTTCTAATAGGGCAACTATACTTGACATGTAGGCGTTTTGTCACAGGTCAGTGCGTCCCACCACAACATGAACAATGATTTGCATGTGCATGTGTCAAATCTTTTTCACTTAGCTTGTCATATACTGGAATGCTGTGATGGTCTGGCCCAGGATGTCATCAGCACCATAGGGCAAGCATTCGAACTTCGATTTAAGCAGTATTTGCGATGTCCCTCTAAGACACCTACTTTCCAGGATAGGTGAGTGCCATTCCAGAAGACTGCTAAAGGATCTCCTTTAGCTTTCTATTTTATGTAATGAAATGTGTGGTGGACGATGTTGCTGGAGACAGACAAGACTTAAACATTTTAAAAAGAGGTTCCTGCTGAATTAGTGTAGCAGCATTTACCTAATGAATATGAAGGGAGCACATTAATTTAAAAAGAATAGGCTAAATATGGATTTCATGGCGACGTTGAAACGATCATGTGTTTTCTGTTGCTGTTAGTAGGTAGAATTGGATGGCCAAGAATGGATGTTATTTGTGGTGTTTCCTCATTGTTGCTGTCATAGCAGCTGTGTCAGTTTAGATGGAGTAAGTTAGAGAGCTGGGCTTCCAAAATGACTAGTGATGTTTCACTATTTCTCATATTAGGGTGATGTTTTGGGGAATGTGATGTATTATACAGAGGCTTTGACTGCATTGTTCTCTGGAGGATACAAAATCTGTCTGTGTATGTTTAAAAACCTGGGATATAGCATTCTGGTTTTTTTGGAGACATGGATTGCTATATGCTTGTTAATACTAGTATAAATTCTAGTGAGCTGGTACCTTCCACAATCTCTTATATCAAAGTAAAACAGGTATATGGTGAATATAAAATGCTACTGTCCTAATCTGGAAGCATGCTGTATTCATGTCTCTTGACTTTGTGAAGTTCTTCCAGATTTGTACTTGTGGTAGAACAGATCTTTAGATATGAAGCTTTAGAGCCTAGTTGGTCAATCAACTCATAATATTACTAGTGCTATTGTAGGATTAGATAAAATTGCTTAATTCGATTTGTAATGGTCTTTAAAGCTAAGTAAAAACATCCTTTACTCAGCATAAAGAATTTTATTCATTGCAAAGGAGGTTTAGATAAGTGTGTCTAAACAGAGAAGGTCTCCTGCATGATCCATTATTGCTTCCCGACTTATGATGATAGCTTGGTTGTCCAAATAACAGTGTTCCCCTGACATGCAGTCTTAACCTGATGAAAATATCTCTTAAGTGCTTTACAAGCGAGGGGCAAAACAAAGCACTCGCCTCCTTACAGGATGCAGAGTTTTGAGGACCCGTGGACGGAGGAAGAAAACGAGGCAACAGAGCATCCCTATTACAACAACATCCCAAATAAAATACCTCCCCCTGGCGGCTTCCTTGATGCCAGGCTCAAAACAAGACTTCCCACTGCTGCAGACACAGCTCAGGTCAGTGCAATTGCATCTCTGCCATCCTGCTGATGGATGCAAAATTTTTAAAAGACGTGTGTTTTAAGATGGGATTTACTCTGGCAGCCTTTATAGCTCACAGCCCTTCGTGTATGACCAATTTCCTTTTGAATGGGCACTGCAGACCTAGGGGGGCAACATGTTAGGCAGCTTCAGAACAACACAAAGGAGGTGAGTTCCTTGTGGTTTTAAAAGATTAACCAGGATCTAGGAAGAGAAATCCACTGAGGGTAAATGAATTTCTGGAAACCATGTCTGCTTCAGAGAGTATAAAATACTGTACACTAACTAGGAATGATTTAATGCAGAATCACTTAATCTAGTGCAGTCATTACAAACAGTTCATTATGTTAATAACTTGACAGCCATCAGTATTCAGCCAGACTCCTAGGTAGGTTTTCCACCTCATGTTGAACTAAGGTCAGTTTGGATATTTCTACCAGTGCTCCTGTCAAAATTTGACTGCAATATCAACATAGTCACTTAACAGGAGTTTTCAGATCCAGTTTCGGTACTAGATTCCCTGGTACCAAAGTGGGTCTTTCAGCTCATGGTTTGAAGAGTGCTGGGGCTGTCTTCTGGTCCCAGGCAGGTTTCTGTGGGACTTTTCCCAGGAACAGTGTGTCAGGGCTTGTTATGTGAAAGGAAAATGTACTGAAAGAGGTGATGCATCCTTCGGTATTGTGGGGCTTAATAAAAGAAGGAAGTAGGGAAGTATGCATGAAGGTCACTGGTAATATCTTACTCTTACACAAATGTATTTGGGATATATATATATTCTGACACCATGATGACTCAGAAAGGAAGAGTGTGAGTACACAGAATACAGCCAAGGAAATTGTCAGAGCCACTGATAATGTATCTGAGCATTTTAAAGGCAACTGAAAATTTCCTTGCATATGTCCATTCCAGTCTGCAACAGGAGTGGGAAGAGAGCAAATTTATTATCAGAGCCATCACTCAGGAGACAAAGTCAGTGAAGAATGGCATCATGGGCCTGTTACACAAGGTGAGTTTTGCTACTTTTAACTGTAATGCTTCAGGTGGTCTTGGGTGGGCAAAGCATGTGAAAGTCTGATGTCTCAAAGTCTTAAGGCAATGAACTGCACTTTTTTTGATAGGTTCCCTTTGTCTGAGTTTTAGTGTTGATACCAGTGAAATGTATTTGTTAATTACTTCTGGATAAATTATTAAATGCACACCTTCATAAAATATTTTCTTCTGCAGGGTAGTTCATAAATAGAGTCGCCCAAATCTTCAGCTTTCTAACTTTCAATGTCCTAAAACCCCGTGATATTAAAAGGCAGGCTGCATGGTCTGTTCTGAAAATCTGACCTACTAGGGTATGAGAAATGAAATTTTTTTAAGGAAAGACTTAAAGTGAGAAGTTTCATTTGAAATGTGAAGCAATGCTCTCTGTTCCACAAATAGCAAATAATGTGTAATGGGTTTTTTTGTAGTTGTCTATAAATTCCAAGTAGATAACTTCAAAACGTGTTAAATTTCACCTCATCCACCTTTATGTGACAACTTTCTGTTTCTAGAGACACTTTCTTTTCAAATGCCAGAATATGTTGTCTGTTGTTAATCTGTAGAGTTGAGGATTTTATTCCTTCTCCTCCTCTCATGACTCCCCAGCTGAATATAATTTTTGAAACTGAGTCTTTATTTACAAAGGTTTCCTTTCCTCCTGAATAATAATGCCCCCAAACCCTCATTGAAACACAGTCCTGAATCCATTAATCAATGTCCTTTTCCTACTAGATCCTGCAATTATTGACTTTACATCTCCCATTCCAGGGAATTTTAAACGTGTAATAGTGTGGTGTGGTGTTAATTGGTCATTATATCAACACTGCTTTGTCAAATAGAAAAAAAAAAAAAAAGAGGAAAATAAAGTCTTGAATTTTCTAGGATCTCTGGATATCTCTAGTATGCCAGAAAAGAAATCAGAAGTAATACCTACAGCAGAGATGCCAACATATGTAAACACCCAGCATATAAATGTAGAAGCTCTACTGGCACTTCAGGCAGATGCTGAATGTACCTTCAGTGGAACAACAGAGGAGACCAAAGCAAGCAGCCCAGGAAAAGATCTGTTTGACATGAGTGAGTTCCCTTCCTATTCTCTCCCTTTCTAACAAATGACCCAATATGTTTGTGCATTAGTTCTGAATTAAACAAAAGAAAAAAAAATAATTCCGGAGTTTAGCATTCCTGGTGTAATTCTGGTGAATTTTAGAATTCATGATGCTTTCATATCGGACTGAGCTAAAACAGAGTGGCTGGAGATTTAAAGCTGGTCTGCTTTATATGAGTTAGGGTAAGTTGCAGTCTATGTTATCCTGAACATCACAGGCAACTATGCCAGAAGAAAAGTAAATCAGGAGCCCTGTCATACAGGGAAGTGAAGGAGAGTGGAGGAGTGGATGGGTGGAGAATTAGCTCCAGTCTGTCCTGTGAGTATTTTACTAGGAAGTCAAGGCATATAACAAAAGCTTTGTGCAACAAGGAATGGAAATTAAAAGACTGAGTTATCTCTTGTGCTGGGTAGGCCTACTATCCTATCTATTCCAACTTTGAAGTCTGGTTTTCCTAAATTAGAATTATAGCCATAGCTGCAAAACAATGCTTTAAGCATCAGCCATAATTTGATGTTGGTGCTAACAATACATGTTGTTTTCAGCCTCGGGGAGACACTTAACGGGAAATAATGGGGAAGGTATTTGATGCACAGAAAAATGTCTTTGTTTTTCTACACTTCCTACCTCAAATAAATTCCTGACACGTTTTACTTAAATCAGTTTGTGTGATTAAAAGGCAGTGAGACAAAGCAGTTGGTGCCTATATGTTATTTGTGAAATAATGTATCTACATTTCTGTTATCTCAGTATACATAAAACTGTCTTCCTGGCATGTTTTTTTTGAGGTATGACTCTATTTCCACAGCTTAGTGGGATTTCGATTGAAAGAAGGGGGGAGAGAAGAAAGCTGAGAGATTATCTATCTGTGAATATAGATCAGAAATGAGAAAAGTGTGCTGTCTGAAGTCAGAGGTGTTAATTTTGATTTCTAACATGCCATGCCCTTAAAACATGCACATGCTTACTTCCATTTTATACTCATTATTTTCCTAAAAATAGGGAAAATTGATTTATTGTCCTCCAGCCTTCATTAATCTTTATCAGTCGTTGGATCATCAGAGAAAAGTAGTATTAGGAAATGTTCCAGCTTAAGTTACTGTTTGTCAGGCTAAACATGAATTGGGCTTAGTGCAGATTGCAATTTAGTGAAGACATATATAAGCTACTTCTAATAATTGAGACATCAATAAGCTGTGACAGCACGGTATTTACTCCATTTCCCTGAGCTAAATTAACCTCTCTGTGGTCCCATGCAAGCGTGGCTGTGCGCTCCTCGCTTCCGAGTAGTCTATTCAGAGCTGGAGTGTTGCCCCACGGCACTGCCCTGCAGATGTCCTTCTGCAGGTTGAGTGGGCACAGAACAACACTCTGCTTTTTGGTGCGCGCTAGTGGAACAGGCGAAGGTCGTGCGAGGGAAAATAGCTTCCAGTGGGTCAGTACAGCACGTAATGAAACACCCACAGACATATTTGCTATTCCTGTAAGGCTGCTGGAGTCTGTAATGGCACATCTCTCCATTCGACTCTGCAGGAAGGAGCACTGAATTTGGGATTTAGCTGGGGTTTAAAAGATGTTTCCCCAAGGCTGATTTTAGCCAGGTAAATGGTGTTAAATGTGTTAACCTTTGTCTATTTTGCAGAATTCTCTTCCTAGACGGAGGCTAGGAGTGGGCTGAGTGGTAGGGGTGGCTGTTCCCTTCTAGACATAGCCTTGGGCTGGAGACTCAGTAATGGATAATTTTTAAATGAATAAATTGTTTGAAGAGAGACCAGATATGAGTATAATGACATTAGCTACCCATATTATGCAATTTATTTGAAATTAAACTGTCTGATATACCTAACAAGACTAAAGGAGAGCTTTGCCTGGTACCAGATCATATAAACACAGCTGTTGACAATAGCCACTGCTGAAATAAAAACAGTACCTTTCAAAAGCTCCTGCAAAGGTTCACTATCATTTTTATTGGTATCTTTCTATGCATAACATACATTTTAAACATGTTACACTCCTCAGTCTTAATAGAATCCATAAAGCAGTAAATCTCATAGTATATCTTACCTTATTTTTTTTCATAAAGGTAGAGGGATGCGGCTACAACGCAAAACAAACCCATTTTAAAATGGCTGGAATATCACCATTTTGTTACATGGTTTACCTCTGAATGATCTTGCTCCTGCTTCTATCTCCATAACCAGGACCATTTGAAGATGCCCTCAGGAATCAAACCTCTGAGGCCATGCTGAAGAAATCCACCTCCACGGGATGCACCAGTCCTGTTTCATCCAGGGCAGCTGCCCGGACTGAAGCTGAAGAGCTGAGTGCAGAGCCATGGTATCAAGGAGAGATGAGCAGGAAAGAAGCAGAACAGCTGTTAAAGAAGTGTGGAGATTTCCTCGTGAGGAAGAGTACCACAAATCCTGGCTCCTACGTGCTGACAGGCATGCACAAAGGACAAGCCAAGCACCTTCTTTTGGTGGACCCAGAAGGAACTGTAAGCACTGAGTCCTCACTAATACATGAGGTTTCTGGCTCTGCACGTTTTCTCTAAATGTGTTTAATGTTCTTTACAGCTTATTCACAACTGTTCATAAGTACTGCTTTGTATCTCTAGTACGCCATCACATCTCTGATTCCCTCCCTGATGCCTAGCAGAAGACACACGCCATGATTTCTGCAGATTGCAGGGAGCCTTAGGGACCTGATTCCCAAACAAGACCCTTCTCTTTGCTGCATAAAGGCTGCCTTAGTTGATGAAGGGACTCTCCCCACAGCAGGATTGGAGAGGTCAAGGGACCTCCAGTTTTCTGTATCAATCTTGTCCTGCTTCTGGGGACGCTTAGTCTCTGCTCAGAGATTAAAATCATTGTCCTGAATTTTATTCTTGGGTCCTGGTAGCTGCAAGTGGGTAACTCTTTTTCCTCTGTGTGGCAGTTTTAGCCACATTAGAAATCCAAAAATCCAATTTTCAGGCTTCCCCCACCCCTTCCCACAATTTATCCCAACACCGGAGAGAAACTTTCAGACCAGAGGCTTCTATAGGGGAAGGGGGAAGTATATACATTTATTTACACAAATAAATATACTGTACAAACTAAAGGTAACTATATATGTATATTACATTTCTGTCTGTCAGTCCTTTCAAGCCCTTGCCACTCCCTTTAGTCCAGGAAGAAGCCTCTCAAGCTGCTGGATAATGCAGTCTCTCTTGTGGGAGTGTTCTGGGCCTGAACGCTCCCCCCTCACCAAGCTCCAGTTGTTTGTTGCAGTCTCTCCTCCTCACGAAGTCCAAGAAGATAGCTTTAAGTCCTTGCTCCTCGGTCCTGTGTGATCTCTCCCTCTCGGTTTCATACCTCAGCTCGTAGGCTGCTGCAGTGTAGTCCAGCTTATCAAGAGTCCTCTGAGTCAGTTTTCAGCTGCCCCGGGTCAGCTTTTGCAGGGCAACCCCCGAGCCTCTCTTGACCCCTCTCCAATTTCGCCTGGGATTTTTCTCCCAAGCGCCGAGCTGATTTATCAGCCCATCTACTTGGCTCTGCTCAAATGCTGAGCCTTAAAATCCACCCCCCACCAGCCTAAATGCAGTGGGGGGGGGGAAAAGCCCCCTAGCCTTGGCCACAGGCAGTTATGCACTGTCCCAAGCATCCCACAGCTGCAGGGCGGGGAAAGAAGGCCCAGCCTCCTCCCTCTTACCTCAGGTGCTGTGAAATTCTTCTTTCACAGCACACACTCCAAATGCTGACTCTAACTCTAACCAAAGGCTGAGCTGGGGGGTCACAGGGCTCCCCTCTCTCCTCTGGAGGGGAAGAGAGGGAGCCCAGCCACCCCCTGGCCTTGTCCACCTACATGCAGCAGACACCAACAGCAAAACAACCCAGACAGAACTGCCAACAGCTTCCGGGGCTGTGATATGTGATTTTGAGCAGAAGCGAACAACATGAGTGGTGACTGGCTCTCCAGGGAACACTGCCCTGGCACCCAATCACCCCTGAGCCCCCCAGCCTCTCGGGGGGCCAATTTCAAACTGTGACACTCTGTAAAGAACAACTTTAGATAACCAGCCCCAAAGTAGGTGAGAGTTCGCCTGTTGGCATCTCTTTCAGCTGAGAAACCTGTGGCAGAATTATGCCAGTCCTGCAGACTCTGTGTTGCTGCGGTAAGGAATGCCCATGGTACTTCTTGTTATTAGTCACATTTGTCACATGAGGCCAGACAAAGAACAGTTTTGCACTTTTGAGGTGCCAGCTACCCAGTCCTGGGCTTGATGGGGACACCAGCCCAGGGAAGTGGCTCTGCACCTCTTGGGGGGCAGCCTCCCTTGCTGAATGTTTGCCAACAGTTTTGTGGCTTCTGGAATGAGGTCCTCTAATTTTCCCTTTAACATAAACCCACAAATAGCTGTTACAGCTGTGTGACGTGGCAAGTGCAGGGATGAAGTGTCCCACCAGGAGCTCTGCTGCACTGCTGACTGGCATGGAGTACTCAGGTCCAGTGATGACTTCCTGGGCATTTTCCTCCTGTGAAACCTGGAGACCCTCCCGGATCTTCTTTTGCACTGCCTCTAGAGCAGCTCTAATTTGCTGACATCCTTGTCTAGAGGCCTGTTTGTTCTCTGCATCTACCCCTGCTTGTGATGTGCCGTCGTGGCCCAAATGTCCCTGAAATGCCTTGCCCAGGAGGCACCATTCCAGAACAACAGCTTTTCTGAGAGGTGTGGGACACCGATGTGGCCTCTGAGCAGCTCTGTTTGCAACTTGTCAGAGTGGAGAGTCATCAGTAAAATACCAGCATGTGACCGTGCCAGCAGCTTGCATTTCTTCTGCGTGGCCTCAGTGTGGTTATTCTTAAAAACTGACTCACAAAAATGCTGCCTGAAAATTCATTTCACACACATTACCCAATGACACAGTTATGGCTCTTAAGGGTGTGCTTTCAGAGCAGAGTTAACTGTCCAGTTACTCTGCTCTCATCCAGCTAACAGAAAAATAAAAAAGGAACAAGAGATCCCTCGTTCAGGTGCTTAAAATGTGGGACTGCAGGGGGTTTTTTTTCTGGATTTAGAATGAGGACTGGAACTCTGGTGATGGCAGGCTACTTGTGTTAAGAAAATCTCAGTATAGATAAAGAAAGTTACTACCTTTTTAAAGACATCTTTTTGTTTTGAAAAGGTAGCTTTGAATTTAGGGAATGTTACTTTTCAAAGCAGTATGCCTCAGGAACAAGGAGAGCCTGTTGGTTTCTTTCAGTGACATAACTACGTGTGGACCGAGCAGATAGCATCATCTGCCACCAAAATTCTTTGTTTCTGGTTTGTTTTTTTTTTTACCCTGTGTGGAAGTTTACAGGAAGTTTTTTTACCCTGTGGCATCCTGTGTTGAAGTTTACAGGAATTTTGCCAGGATTTAATGTTGAAGATTGAAGTATTTCAAGAGAGGTACCCAACACAACATCAGCTGGCTTTGGAAAGTTCTAACAGAAGTTGTTCTCTCTTTCTGAGAAAAGTTCAAGGAGAATGCATGACATTCCTTGCTCAGAGCAGTGCTCACAGGCATTTTCTTGAGGCAGTGTAGAGACATCCCAAAACAAAGCTGTACTGCAACATGATGTTTGCCAGAGTGGACCTGTGCTCTGCCTGTGAAAACTGCATGCCTAATTCATTTTAAACGTAGGAAGGAAACGTTTTGTGAAGGTGTGGTTAAATAACTAAAGATTGTTTTGTAATATGGATTAATTTTTGGCCTCTCCTGGTAATCTTGACTGTTTTATCTTGCAATATCGATTTCCTCTTATCACAGGGGTGATGATGTGTGTTAGCAGGATACTAGAACAGAGGGCTGGTAAGTGGGCTAGAAAAGTGACATTCCCTGCCCTGAAGTGTTTCAGCACCAAAGCCATTTTGGGGAATGAAATTTCCAAGTACCTGAAGAAGAAGGTCTCTGTTAAGAAAAGAACAAATATGCTGAGGTGCACAGAGAAGCTGAGTTCCGACATGCCTGGAGGGACAGCTCTTTCTAATGAAAAAGGTGCAAACACCTAAAAGAAGCAGGTAGTCTGCTGAAGAAGAGAAGTTGGTCTAAAATTCTGACCTACAGTGAAACAAAATGTTGTACAGAAAGTTTACAAGCAGACCTAATCAGAAAGAGTAGACTGGACTGTGGGGTTGCTTGCAAAATGCCTATTTGGTGAGAATAGAGAGAGTAATAGATAAAACAGAAACCAAGATGGATAAGTGCCACATTTCCACCAATTTTGATGGGAAAGGAATCAGTCTCTAAAACATGATTGTGTCATTTTGTTCTTAGACAATTTTAGTGTGAATTTAAGGGGGAAAGTACTTTACTCTTTAATCTATATTCTTGCATCCTTTTTTTGAAGGTTCGTACAAAAGATCGTGTCTTTGACAGCATAAGTCATCTCATCAACTATCATCTTGAGAATAATTTACCAATAGTTTCTTCAGTGAGTGAACTCTGCCTGCAACAGCCTGCTGAAAGGAAACACTGACTCCAGATCTCTTTTAGTTTTTGTAACTTGCAAGCTATAACTGGTAGAAATTGCAGATCTTAAAAAAACCAAACATGTACATTAAAAAAAGTGTGTAGTCACGTATACTTCACCAGTATGTTTTCTATATGTTTAGGAAGCCCCATTTCATATGGTACACTTGAAAATTCTCAGTTCTTTGTGTAGACATGAAATCACAGCAGAAAGCTTTCTTAAAAGTAATTTCAATAAGATTGTTCAGATTCTCTAATGTGACTGTTGATAATGTATATATACATACCATATATATAGATACAGTATATATTTATATTTTTTGAGTCAGTCTATTGACAGTATAGAACTATCTTCTGTGCCATGTGTTTTTACCAAAAGAAAAATGACAATTGTGATTGTTCAGATAAAAAGTAGAATTCAGCAGTCTCAATTTCTTGAGAAATTTAATATTAGGAATCTTATTTCTGATTTTACCTAAGAAGCACAACTATGGGGATTACAGGTGGATTATGCTAATTAACTATGGTAGGAGCCTGAATTCAGCATCTACTATTCCAACTCAGAAATTTAGCATAAAATATTTTTGAAAGCATTATCCACTTATGTCATTGATGTCAAAAGGATTTTATCTTTCTGATGTCAAGTTTGAATTCTTATATGGTGATACTCGAAACATTTGTATCTTACTTTAACAATGATTTGGTGTGATCTCTCTGTGTATGAGGTGTGTGCTTTGATTTTTCTGATGATATTGTGACAATATATTGTAATTTATTAATTTCAGTGCTAAAAGGTTATTTATAAGTAGTTCTCTGCTTATGGTGAAGATCTAGGTGTCTTTGACTAACAGTCTTGAATGAGATGTTGCATACTGAGTAGACAAGTTCAAATAACTTGTGTGTAATAGGCTTAATCCAAGATATACATGATTGTTCAAAGACATATCTGGAAAACCTTTTCTTCTTATGGATGGTGAAAACTATCCCAACTCAGTGGTCAGTTTTGCAAATTTTGCCACTTGCACTTACCTACCAAAGCGTAACTTCATCTTGGCCTTCAGCAAGTGATAGGTATTGCAAATACACTGTTTTTCTCTAAACATCAAGTTCAAAAAATACACATATACGAAAGCGCATTTCTGGCAGAAATGGCCTCGACTTTTGATACTGGGAAATGCTTTAAGGGATGATTGTACTATTCACATTTAAGCACTATATGAAGTTATTTTCCCATTTTAGGAATCTTATTACGAGTCAAATTCAATAGACACAGTTCCTGTAAAGACAAAACTTGTACAGAGTCAAGATTTAGCCTTCAGCAACCCGAGGTCTTCTCTAGCACCAGTCTCTCAAATCAAATCTTCAGACTTGATTCATAAAGACTCAGCAGGGTAGAGTCTAGGTTAAGCATCTGCCTACCCTGCAGTAGTCAACACTTAAATCTACTTAAAGTTAGATTTGGTTCTAAGAATTTGCTAAGTTTAAAAGTTTGTCAAGACATAACAAAACTGACTGAATGATTTACTTAGAATACATTCAGGCAGGACCATGATGTTAAAATTCTGAAATAATTTTCTTGTATCATCTCCTTTTAAGTGTGGTGAATTTGCAGCTTGGGAATTTTATTTTGGTTAATCTCAAAAGATACACTTGATTCTATAATCAAGACATCCAGAAGCCAAACTAAGACATTAGCAAACAAAATGCTTGTGATTAATTTTACTATGGATAGTTTTTATTTGATATTTTCTTGATCTGGATGGAAGCAGACAGCAAAGGAGATAAATTAAATGCTGCATTGCAACCCAAATCAGCATGGCAATAAATTTACAGGAACTCTTAAAATCTGGTTTTACTACATTGGAAATTGTAATATGTGAACAGATCTTTTATCCCAAAGTAGTATTCACCAAAATTACTTTATTTGAGTTTCCATGTCTCACCATATTCCATTTTGATGTATCTCAGTTGCCTCTTTTTTTTTTCTTAAATAACACTTATTATTCCATGTTCTAGCCTTCCTGTGGCCAATTTGTGGAAAGTTTTCAGTGTGAGATCACTATCTGTAAGAGAAGGTGTCTTTTGGGTTTTTTTAATATTTCATATAATTTCAGTAAGAGTTTGATGCATAACCCCCTTGGGCGTCTTCAAAATGCCCACCTGCTGCCTATGTCCTTTCTGGATTACTAAACATTCTGGAAAAATGTGACAAGATTTGGGTGTATGAATTGAAGGCACTGAACACACACTGAAAAAAAGTCTAAATTTTTTTTTACCATTGTCCTAGCTGTAGCTTTAATAACTTAGCACCCACTTAGCTGGATGCTTTGGAAATTAAAGCAAGCGGCAATGAGACGCAAAATGAACCAGCCTGACAGGAACACTGAATTCCCCAGACTACATTTCACAGACTCTGCCTCCAGGAAAATGTGGCTATTTTAAGCTGCTCTGTCAGCACAGCCAACTTGCACAACTCAGCATGTGCACTGGTTATGCAAAGGCTGCATATACCTTGATGAGATGCAGTTTGGTCCTGGATAGCAATAGTGCCATTGGGCTGTGACAGTGCCCTGCTGATGCAGTGGGCCAGCAGATCCTGTCTGGCCAGGTGGGAAGGATCCAGAGGCTTTTCTAAGTCCTTTCGGAACCAAATGATCTCACAACTGTCCAGGAAGGAAGGGCACATGTACCAGTCAATGCTCTGTTTGCGGATCCTGCCGTGGCTTTCTGTCTGTCACTCTGGTAGATTCTGCTTCTCCCTTCATGAAAGTGGTATAAAAACTGTATGGCCATTTGGATGGCAGTTCCAAACCTGTTGTCATTAGAGTCAAAGTCCATTTTAAACTGAACTCAGCAAGAGGTAATTGAACCTGCTGGAATGGCTGTACTCACTTCTGTAAGGAACCAACACTGACAGCAATTTAAGAGATGTGGAAGTTATGAGAGAGGTTCAAACACTCTGTGATTGGCTGAAAACCAACCAAACAACAACATAATAATGTGAGCCTTTTAAAGTTTGCCTTTGATTTGGAGCCCCTCCACCTTTTGTTGTTATTCTTTTATGCAGTCTCAAGGGCTACGCTCTTGTTGGTGGTAATTCTGTGCCATGACTTCAAGAAGTGAGATTTTACTGAAAGAAAAAATTTTCTAGATTCAGTAGAAATCACTGAGATTAGGCAATATTACAGTATCCTTTGAGATTTTCCCAGGGAATAGCTGAGAAGTCAGAACTGAAACTAAATATCCTGCAAGACTGTTTACATTGATTTTGAGCCCTTTCTAATTATGAGGTTTGCTTCCAGTTGTTTTGCAATTATAGAAACTATTGGCAATGAAAACATACTCAATTCCTCTAAAGAAAGAACTTTTAGAAGTGAACCAAATTATTCCGCATACTTTTATTGCAGATCTAGAGCAATTATTAAGATAATAAAATTTTCCAGTGATGCTGGCAGTGATAGACTGGACATCTAGGTACAATCACATTCCCAAACTTTCAATTATTTCAGATGCTTCAGAAGCAATGAAACCTCAAAGGTAGAAAATGTGATTTGAAAAGTGAATTACCTTCTGACAAATGGGAGTTTGCTCAAAGTGAGGACTCCCATCTTCCCTTTCCTAATGCAAGAAGAGAATGTTCAAATCGACCATGCCTGGCTGGTGACCATATGAGGAGATGCAATTTCCATGGCTTAATGCCTGCCTCCCTGCCCAGGGCTTTGCACCCACGGTAAGGATAGAAGGTTATACGGTATCTTCACTCCCCATCCTACAATTCACACTGGTTCTGCCAGGAACCTCTGTGCCAGACATGTTCAGTAAAAGCTTGAACAAAGGACGTAGTCCTGGGACCAATTCTTCTGTGCAAAATGTGCACTGTCACTGTAAGAAAATGTTTAACATTCTGGCAAACATCACCTGCCAGCACTAAATTTTCTGTATCCTGAGTCCATTCTTTTTTTTACCTCTGTGGAATAATATGCTCACATTTCTTGTCATCATAGTCCTCAGGCATCACATGCAACAAGATGACATGAATTTTAAAAAAAAATTATGCCAGAGTGTGATTGCTGCTGGCACATCAAGTGCCAGATGCCAGCTACAATGTATTAATAATAGAGTTGATGCATATTTAGATATTTGTAAGTAGCAAATGTTCCATTTGAAAACTAGCAGAGTTTTGCAGCTTCTAGGAAATTTGCAGCTCTAAGGGGGATATTTGGAACTTGTGAATATTCTGACAAAAGCTTAAAAATCCTGCTTTCAAGATTTTGTTCTTATCTTTCAATGTCTATCTGAAGCAAGTGGTAGAACCAAGAATTTATATTCAGCAAACCATATTCGCATAAATAAAGTCTAAACTGAAGTAACAGACATACTTCCCTTTTTTATCTTCCAGACAGTTTCAAAATATATCTGTGTAAAGTCCAAATTCAGATTTACCTCAGCATACTGTCAAAACCATCTTGATTTACATTGTCTTTTTGCCCAAACCGAGGTTTGCACTCTTTTCACAAGTCTGTGCTTGTTCAAAGCTGTCAGGATATGGGCAAATTCCCAGCAAAAGCTCTGTGATCAGCTATACTTACTCCATTCACTCAGCCACAATGTCTGTGGACCTTGGTCATATCTGCATTGGATGCAGCTGGAACGAGGACAGGCTTCTGGAAAAGATAACATGGACATACAATTTGCCAGCAGTTAACCAGAGCCTTGGATAGAGAGTGAGAAGCCGTGCTGGGAGAGAAACCTTCAGGGATAAGAAATGTGAAGCCTGGAAACACGAGCCAATAGGCATGAAAGTTACTAATGGGAATAGAGTGCCGTTGCCAAATTCTAAACATGCTAATTGGTTGATGGGGTTAAAGCAGAACCTCTGGGGATGTAATGCCTACTGCTCATCTCTTACTGAGACATTTATGTTCATAAGCCCTGATCTGTACCTCTGCATACTCCAGTAAGCATCTTCTATGGCTTCCACTGAGAAAAAGCAGGGCTGCTTGTTTTTGTCTCAGTAAGGGGAATAAGATTTCAGAGCTATACATTTCTAGAAAAAGCACCATATAAAGACTGTTTAAACCTTGTATGACCACAAAACGGGTTGTGGAAACCAAAGCTAGAAAGAAGCTAAAACTGGGTGACTCATTCTGCTACCCCACTGTGTAAGAGACAGTGCAGATGACTCAGAAGAGAAAGGTAGCCTCAGATTTTGAGATTAAGATCATGAAGATCAAATAAAGTCCAGGTCAAATGAAGGATTTTTTTTTCAGCAGTTCTCCTTTTTGTTCCGTGAGGCAAAAACCACCAAACACACCCAGGCATACTTTAATTTAAAATAAGTGAAATTTTCTAATAAGTGAAGAATGTAAAGATTATAATTGGTATATATTTGTGTCCTTTGTGTCTGGATTGGTGTAATAACTGCTTCTCAGTAAAGTCCTGCAGAGTTAAACCTTGAAAGAAGCCAGGTTTCTTCTTTTGAGGTACATGTTTTTCTTTGCATTGTGTAGGCAGCAACAAAAAAAAGTAAGTATTTTGCTGTAAAAGGGACTTTTACTGTACAATCATCATTTATTAATATTTATTATTTTTAGAAACATTTTTAAATGAGAGTTGCATAAAAAATAATGTATGTGGAGATATTGTGATAATTTATATTCCCAACCACTTTTGTGAATCTCAAGTTTTTGCCTGTCTGCTGATTGTGGTATTCTGGCTCTAGAGGCAAATTTCGTCTCTGAGGAAGTCCTTGAGCAACATAGTTTGGAATATAAGTGTCATGCAACTGTTTTCTGACTATTCAGTTTGTATATGTTTAACCAAAGTAATAAAACAGTGAGCACCACTATTAGATTGAAATTCATGTGAAGTGGGCTTGAGTCTGTTCTCCTATGCTTGGGTTCCCTAATGGCCTCGGTTGTTGGGTTTGGGTTTTTGTTTTTGTTTTTAATTAACTTGAAGAGAGGCCCATTTTGTAGCAGAATATGTGCCATTCTGCAAGGCTTACCGAGGTACTGAATATTAATAAGTCAATAACTTGCTCAGCCCAGTAGGATCAGGGGTGAAAAATGTCAGAGGACCAAATGGCACATGAGGACTTGGACTTCAGTTACAGTGACCTTATACCACAGAAGCACCACTTACTTTGGCAGAGGCAAAGTTCCATGGGTTTGTTTTTGACAAATGCCATTTTCATGATGCAAGGAATCGTTCCCACAGGCCCTCTTTCTGAGCCAGTCTCCTGAAAGGGTAGTTTTCCTACTTGGCACGCTCAACAGGTGAGGACAGACAAGGGTAGGCTACTCCATGGTCTTTCTGTGGAGAGTGACTTCAAGGACAAGGTCCATACAAGAGTAGCCACTTAGTGTATTTGTGGAGAGGAGAATGGCTCCATGTCAGCAGGAAGCTTAGCTGGGCTGGTGTTCCCCAAATCCTCTTCCTCAAGCGACCAAATGTCTCTCGGCAAAGGCCCTTCCTTCCCTCCTGCCCTTTTGGAGAAAAGCTGAGCCTGGGGATGCAGTGGGAAATTACGCTGCTCCCAGAAAGAAGAAATGCAGCTCTGAAGGGAGCAGGGGTACCTGCCTGCCCCGTATGCCTCTGCACGGTGCCTCCATCCCACTTATGCTGGGGGGGCCTCAGGGTAGCAGCAAACAGAACCCCCCAGTCACTGCTGCTGTGCCTGCCCCCCGTGAGTTTGGCCATAAGAAGGGAGTGTCTCCAGGCCCAGTGTGGCCTGGGTTCTCCACTGCTAGGAGTTCTCCACTTCTGCTAGGAGTGTCCTTAGCTGTGCCAGTGAGCGAAATGGCCCCTGCAGGGGGAGACCAGCACATCTCTGCTCATCAGCAGCAGAGATGCCCATTTCAGGACCCGACTTTTTAGTACCTGGCACTTTATGCACAGGTGTGTTTTCTGTTTCCTTACTAGAGCAGTTGGAAACAGCAAGCCTTGCAGGCAGCATGGTACCCTCATTATGGCTGATCCTGGCAAAATGTGCCTTTCCAGGGAGCAGCCATGGTGGTGCAGCTGGAGCAGACAGCTCTCCAAGCAGGTGGGCCAAGGGACTCAGCCTTCTTCCAGAAAGCAGGGGCAAAGCCTTCCACCAACCCTGGGGATGATGGAGGCAGAGCCCATCACCTTCAGCTGCACAGCATTCCCAGGGGTAGAATCATAGAATATTCTGAGAATATTCCAAAGGGATCCATGAGGATCATGGAGTACAACTCCTGGCCCTGTGCAGGACACCCCAAGAATCACACCATGTGTCTGGGGGTGTTGTCTAAACACCTCTTGAACTCTGTCAGGCTTGGTGCTGTGACTGCCTCCCAGGGATCCTGTTCAGTGCCCAACCACCCTCTGGGTGAAAAACTTTTTCCTGATGTCCAGCCTAAACCTCCCCTGACTCAGCTTCATGACACTTCCTTGAGCCCTGTTGCCGGTCACAAGAGTGAAGAGATCTGTGCCTGCCCCTCCGCTCCCCCTTGTGAGGATGTTGAAGGCCACAGTGAGGTCTCCCCTCAGTCTCCTCTTCTCTAAATTGAATGCAATATCTTTCTTATATTGCAGTGCCCAAACTGCACACAATATTCAAGGTGAGGCCACCTCAGGTCAGAGCAGAGTGGGACAAACCCCTCCCTCGACTGGCTGGTGATGTTTTGCCTGATGCCCCCAGGACAGGATTGGCCCTCCTGGCTACCAGGGCACTGCTGGCTCAGATTCAGCTTGCCATCAACCAAGACCCCCAAGTCCCTTTCTGCAGTGCTACTCTCCAGCCTCTCAATCCCTGTCTATGAACACAATCAGAGTTGCCCTGTCCCAGGTGCAGAATCCAGCACTTGCCCTTGTTAAACATCACATGGTTGGTGATTGCCCATTTCTCTAATTTGTTGAGGTCTCTCCACAGGGGCTCTCTGCCCTCAAGGGAGTCCTCCCAATTTAGTGTCATTAAACTTAGTATTCCCTTAAGTGCTGAGTCCAAGTCATTAATGAAGATGTTCAAGAGAACTGAGCCAAGAATGGAGCCCAGCAGAACCCCATTAGTGACAGGTCACCAGTCTGATGTCACCCCATTCAGTGTAACTCTTTGTGCCTGATCCGTGAACCAGCTGCTCACCCATCGTGTAAACCTGGTTATCCAGCTGTGTGCTTGGCATTTTGTCCAGAGGGATCCCGTCAGAGACAGTATTTAAAGCTTTACTGAAATCCAAAAGATCACATCAACTGGGTTCCCTTGGCCAACTAGGTTGCTTACCTTGTCATAAAAGGAGGTCAGGTTGGATAAGCAGGGCTTCCTTCTCATGAAGCTGTGCTGGCTGTGACTAGCGACAGCGCTGCCCTCCAGGTGTTTTTTAATACTTCCCAGAATAATCTTCTCCATAATTTTACTGGGCACTGAAGCAAAACTGACAGGCCTGTAGTTTCTGGGGTCCTCCTGCTTACCCTTTTTGAAAGTTGGGACAATGTTTGCCAGCTTCCAGTCAGCTGAGACCTCTCTGGATTCCCAAGACCACTCAAAAATCATCAAGAGAGCCTTTGTGACTAAATTAGCCAACTCTTTGAGGATTCTGGGATAAATCCTATCAGGCCCCATAGATTTGTAGGGATCCAGCTGGAGCAGCAGATCCTGCATGAGTTCAGGGTCAGCTGAGGGTTGATCATGCTCTCAGTCATGGTTCTCCAGCTCAGGGCACTGGAACCCCCTTGGTCCAACATCCATGTTGAAGACAAAGGCAAAGAAAGTCTTAACTCCTCTTGCCTACTCTCTGTCCCTGTTAGTAAGGTGATCAACCCCATTCTGTAACAAGCTTTTATTTCTACACTGCCTTTTGGCATTAATATATTAGAGAAAAACTATTTTTATTGTCCCCCACATTTCTGGCCAGCTTCATCTCCAGTTGAGCCCCTGCCACACAAATTTTCCCCCTGCAGCAGCAAGCAGCATCTCTGAGTTCTTCCCATGTCATTAGACCTCTGGGCATACAGCTTCCTTTTTTTGTCTTATTTTCAAAAGACCCCTTTCAGCCAAGCTGGCCTTCTGTCTTTGGGGTACTGCCTTCAGGCTCAACACCCAGCTTTTGAACATGTTTTCCATAGAAGGCCCAAATCTCTTTTACAATTTTTTGAAAAATGAGTGCTACATGACAACTTTGGCTCAAAGGTTTGAGTTTTTTTATTAAAAGTTTTCAAAATGTTTATGGTACCTAGTCACTTGCAAATACTCTAGAAGACTGTTGGCAATAAAAGACTCTTGGAAAGCAGCTTGTGAAAACCTTTATTTTCTCCATAGGTGGCTGAATTAGCATTTACTTCGTAATTCAGAGCAAAAATAAACATTCCAATTCATGAAATAATATGAATGAAAGGTTAAGTGTCCTTTGTAGCCTTTGCTCCACTTAAAACCAATTGGAAAGGGAGACCTTATTCAGTTTCCTGTATGCTCAAATCAGCCTAGATGGTAACAAGCTTGGATTCTAGGGTGTGTTTGAAGGAGTTTTCTAATATTTTAGGGTTAAAGAAAATATTCTCCATCTTTTCACAGCTTCAAGAATACATCATGTTCTTGGTAGTTTAACATCCACTGCTGTTAAGCTCTTGACTTGTCCTAATTTAAAATTCTGTTCTGAAATCTTCCACGATCTATGCCTTATCTAATACTTCTCAGTGGAATGTGCCCACTGAAGATTGCATCAACAATAGGGGTTTTTTCTCTTCAGTCCTAGGTATTTTGTAAATCATATTATCAGTGTTATATGTGAACCCATGAATCTTGGAAGCCGGTTTTAAGTACAGCAGGGAATTGAACTAACAAAATATCCCCACAGCTCCAAAATAAGAAAAGGAAATCAAAGTAGAATTAAAGGTTTTTGTACAGACATGCAATCACATTGCCTCCAACAGTGGAGTTGCCTGCATTACCTGTACCTTGCACCAACACTGACAATAGCTAAGGCTAAAATGCAGATGTTAAAGCTCACTTTTATGTGCATTTTCTTGGACTATGGCTATTAAAAAACATGTCCCTATCCTGGTTTGTCCCCCCGCTTGTCTGTCTCATGCTCCGCCCTACGTTCTAGCCCTTTCCTCTCCCGAGTTGATAAAAGACCAGGTGCACATGTGACTAAAGGACTCTACCTGCACCCCACCTTTGTGTCCCGGACCCGTGCTGTGCCACGGCCCTATCCTCCCCTTTCGGACCGCGGCATATGGCGTCCAACGCAAAGCAAAGGTAGAGGTTTTTATCTTAAAAAGCCTCCCACACACCACAGGGGCTCAGATCACAAGAAGAGAAGTGTTTTCATCCCACTGGTCCTTCCCGGCTGAACCCCAGATCACGGCAAGATGGCCACCACACCGAGAAAGTTGAGCACCGGGAAAACCTCTAATCCCACCTCCCACCCTCACAAAAATTTTTTAAAACCAACTGCAGACTAATACAAGCCTAAGTAAATCCAAAAATATGGGCCTCTCGCTATCTACCCCTCAAAAGTTTGTATACCGCGAGCTTAAAGACTTTATTTTTGAAAAACGGACACCCCTTAGACAAAAAATCCGCAAAAGCCCTTGCTAAATGGTTGAAAATGAAGGGGAAGCAGTCTCTGGCAGCATGTCTCTAAAAGACTGGGAGAAAATTGGATATAATATCTGGAAAGCGAAAGAGAGGGGAGACAAAATTGGTACTGAAGCATTAATAGCCTGGAGGTTGGTTCTGATGATGCTACAACATCAAATAACCAGTTCCAATGAAAATCTCCAAGAATCCGAGCAAAAATCCAAGCCCCCATCCCCAGAAAAGGACAAGCCCTGAAGGTCCCGGAATGGTAGGGGCGGGGAGAGAGAGTAGGGATGGCGGGAGGGAGAAACAAAGCGTGGAATACCAGCGGTTTTTGCATCGTGGCATCGGCGAGCTGGGCGGTCGCGCACGAGAAATGGAGGAGCGCGGGGGGGCGAGCGCGGGACCGGGCGCCACGTGGAGAAACGACATGCGAAGATTTCGCGCCCTCCCCGTTGGTCCCACCCCCCGGCCCGCCTCCGTGTCCACTCCCTCCAGCACCACCTCTACCCCCCCCCGTCATCGCCCTCCTGGGATAGATGGAAACTAAGGGGCAGCTCCAAGCGCGGCGGGGGCCAGAGCCGGGCCCGGCGCAGGGCTCAGAGCGGGGCTGGGGCCTCTTCCAACAATAACATCAGGGGAGATGGCTGCCCGCGTGAAACCTTTGTTACCGAAGCCTCCTGCAGCTGCCGGACAGCAAAGACACCCCTGCCCTATAACGGTATCTGGAAAGCCTTTAGTACAGAGGCTGTGCAGGCCAATGACACCGAGTTTTTAAAAGCCTTTCCAATTTATCTAGAGGAGGGCCGTGCTCCAGAATGGCGTCCGGTGTCATACCTTATGTTGAAAGACATCAAAAAAGCAATTGTGCAGTATGGTTTAGGTTCACCTTATAGTGTTGGGCTTTTTGAATCGTTTTTCCTTGCCTGCCGTTTAATACTGTATGATATCAAACCAGTAATTAATGAACTGTTATCGAGTGTGCAAGCGCCCGTTTTTGAAGCGGAAAGGAAAGAATTTATAGTTAAATATGTCAGTGAAAAGGTGGAAAGGCGTATTCCAATAAGCAGTGCCATTGACATGTTGTACGGAGAGGGCAGCCAACAAGACCAGTCTCTTCTGAATTTAAAATATCTGGACATTACAAAAGAACTGGCAATGGAAGCCTTTAAAAAGGTTGCTGATGTATAAGTCCAAACACCTTCATTCACCCTAATTCATCAGGGCCCAAAAGAACCTTTTGTGGACTTTACAACCAGGCTAAAAGAAGCTATAGCACGCCAAGTCCAGCAGAAAAAAAGCCAAGACATTCTGTTTAATAAGCTTGTGGTTGAAAAAGCTAACAAGGATTGCCAACAAGCTTTTAAAATGCTAAAAGATCCTACACTTCTGGAGATGATAGTAGCTTGCAAGAATGTGGGGTCTAATTCTCATAAAGCAAGACTAATAGCTGAAGTCTTAGCTGGACCACAAACCTGTTTTCACTGTGGTTAGACAGGACATATAAAAAAGAACTGCCCAGGATTAACTACAAAATTTGAGCTTCCAAAGACACCTTGCAAGCGATGTGGCAAAGGCAGACACTGGACTAAGGATTGCTGCTCCCTCACTAACATCTACTGAGAACTGCTGCCCTCGAAAAAGTCACACGACTTAAGGAGAAAAGTGACTTTTAATTCAATGCCAGATCCTAAACAGTGTACCTGTGAACTGTCAGGAAACAAGGCAGCAAGCTCCAGGGGTGGTGTGATAACACAAACACCCCCTCAACTGCGTTCCATCCTGCGTAACCCATCCTTCAACAGGTGCCAGGAAACCACAACAATTAGAATGAATCATGTTAAACCTACCATTCCCTGCAGCTCAGCTTAAATCAGACGAACAGATTATGCAAGTTGTGCCCTTACCACACGACCCCAATCCTAAATTCTCCCTTCCAGCTGTACAAGCAGAAAGACCATTTCTAACATGTTCTGTTTACTTTCCAGGATCCCATAGTCCACAGAAGATCACTATCACTAAGCTTTTAGACACCATGAAGCAGTGGCATTTTGGGCTGGAAACAATTTTTTAGGGGGGGAGTCACTCAGCAGATGCAGCTGTCCAAACTGATTTGGAAGATGCAGATCTGTCCTCCCCTAAGTCCATTTAAACAAACCCTTTTTAACTTGCTTTGAAATTTTGTTTTCTTTGTTTGTATTGTTATTAACTATTTCTTGTGTCACAGCATGCTGCAAGAGGACTATCACAACAGACATTTTCAAACAAATAAGAAAGGGTGAGATGTGAAGGAGCAAGATTCAGGACGGGAACAGTTCCAGGCTTGGAGAAAAGCATACAGCAATTGGCAGGACTTTATTATATGGACTTCACTGTTATTATGTGATTTCATTGTATTCACACTACACAGTGAACAGCCTGGACATGCCCAGGCTTGCCATGAGTTTGCCTGCTCCCTGCTTCCCCCTCTCCTCCCCCTTTTGCCCGTGTCCCTATCCTGGTTTGTCCCCCGGCTTGTCTGTCTCATGCTCCGCCCTATGGTCTGGCCCTTTCCTCTCCCGAGCTGATAAAAGACCGGGTGCACATGTGACTAAAGGACTCTACCTGCACCCCACCTTTGTGTCCCGGACCCATGCTGTGCCACGGCCCTATCCTCCCCTTTCAGACCGTGGCACAGGACCACAGGGTGGACATGAAGGCAATTGAACCCTATAAAAAAGTTATCAGTCATGGAGGTTATTATAGTGATGGGTTAAATGCCATTGTTGTGTTTGCTGTTTGCTTTATGCCTGAAAGCAGCCAGCCTAACTACAGATACCTGATGGACAATCTATTTAAGTATGTAATTGGCACTTTAGAGCTCTTGCTGCCTGAGAACTACGTGATAGTTTATCACATAGTGAACGGTGCAACCACACGGAGGAAAATGCCCAGTTTAGGCTGGCTCAGGAAGTGCCACCAGCAGATAGACAGAAGGTTAAGGAAATCATGTAACATCATTGACATGAGGGTTAGTGTGGGCTCAGCCACCACCTTTTCTCAAACTGTTGTGTTCCTAAGGCCTGTCTGTTGTACAATAGCAAGGAATGTTGCCAAATGCCACCACCACATGAACTAAGCTAGAAGTATACAAATATCTTAGCTGGCAGTTTTTGAAGATACAGCCTCAGAGAAGAACTTCTACAATGCAGCCAAAAAGCAGCGTAAGACTTAAAACCCTAAGCAAGCTATGGCAATGCAGTGTCACCAGCTTGTTTCTCACAAAGTTGCAGAGCCTGCAGCCTGTATCTGCAGTCCATATAGTTATATCATGCTTTACTTGGTTTAGCTTTTTGTTCTTCTAGAAGTGCACTGCTTTTCAACATTTTTGCTAGAAATTATTTTGTATTTACTACTCTCTTTCACAGTTATTTCACTCAAATAGAGTTCTTTGTTCTTACACACTTTTCTAACAGCATAAAATATTTACGAGCAGACTGCTAATTTTTAAAAGATAATCACAATGCAAACCTTACATTTTAAAGGCTTTTGCTACACACATTACACAGCTTATACACTATGCATATTTAAGAAGAGTCTAATGCTGCTGCTTTAAATGATTAAGACCAGATCAAAGCTAAGGATGAGCTCTTTCAGGTTTTGTGTTAAAAAAGCCTCAATTACTTCTGATTGTGCACAAGACAAGGTGTGTTTTGAGACCTTAAACACAAAACTTTGAAAGAGCCCAACAAAGTTAGATGGTTACATTCTTACTGAAAGACAGCGGGAACTTGCCTCAGAATTTCCTGCTGAACTTCACTGAAGCCTCCAGCCGTAAAGTACTATTGATGGAAGTGCCACGGGCTGCTTCCATGAGGACTTGAAACCAGATGTTCGTGAAGTCTTAACCACTCTAGGTCTCAGGGAACGCCTTTGACACTGACCACCATTCTGTACTGAGACTGGTAAGGCAGTGATGAACCATAAAGTTGTTTTCAGGTTTCTCTGGAACAGCCTCTCAAAAGGCTGGGGCTGGGGCTCCAGGTCTTCCAAACTAAACAAGCTTTCCTTCCAGATCCGAGGCAGGGTCAGGTATAAATGGAGATATACCCTTCAGCATGATCCTGTTGTACCGCATCTTTTCTCTCGTATCTGCAGAAGTGTCCAGAGGTGATAGAAGTGCAGGGTCCCATTAACAGAAAATGGGATATTGTCCTACTTACTGAACTTCCCAGGGAGAATTTCCAACACAATCCCATGCTGTGGTAGTGCCTGGAAAGAAGGAACTCCATGGGAACCCACTGTGGTTCATTGCTTTCTGAAATGATATGTCTCTGTTTCAGAACTGAAGGATCTCAGCTTAGGTAGTGCATTCACAATGTACACAGGTTTACGTAGGTCAGACACAAATTTTTAAATACATTGAAAATAGTAAGCAAAATTATATGCATTGAAACAGTACGTGAATAAACATTTGTTACATGTGTGTTGTGGGGTCACATTTTAACTACTTTAAATAGCAAACATATATATCCTCTCACAATGGTTATTTACTACTGCTTGCTTAGAATGCGTTGTGAAATGCCACAGTGACAACTGCCATACTATCTTTCGCTAAACACGAAAAGTTTGAATAACAATGGAAAAAAAATAAAAATACTGCATTGATATGACACGTTAAAGTTCCTGACAGTTAAAAGTTACTACTTCATTTTAAATATCCCCATTGAAACACATCTATTTGTATAATTAGTCACCTTACACTGTATACTGCAATACAATGTTTAACATATTGTAAACTTTTACCAAACAATGAATTTTTAGTAAGAAATTGCACAAATATACAGCTATTTATACCACATATATATAAGGCCATTAACATAACAGCAAGATACATATAGAGAACTACAGTCAACATTACAACATATGTAATGAACTCTTCTCTCAGTTGACAATAATCGGGTTCATCTTCCAACCATCAGCAGTCTTTAGTAAATCTAAAGTTTCTAACAGGTGTTAGTGATGTCTTCCAAAATGAGTAAGTGCCAAATACAGTCTTAGCATGCAATGCCATTGTGGTGTGTGATGTCCTTAGATGTACATGGACTCTGTCCTGGCTGTTGGGCAGCATGAAAGGTTTTTTCTGAATCAGATTTGGTACTGAATGAACACCCAAAACACATGATTGTTGATAAATAAGTCCTCAAAGTTAAATAAGTGATTAGTGTTTTCCCCTGTGATTTAAGTGCATGAATATTTAAACTTCATGTGTAGTTTAAATCTAAAAGCCACGGAAAAGTACTTGTCTTGAAGAGTCCTTTACTTACAGAAGTTCCCGTTATGAAACGAAGATTCATTTTTCTCAGCGATACACGAGGGAACATTCATTGGTGGGAAATCTTCCTTTGGCTTCTGGGTGTTGCTGCTGCTGGATTTGCTCCGACTGTGATCTGGTGTGGGCTGAATAGGCAAAGATCTGGCCACCTTGGATTTCACCAGGCAGCCACAAACAAGGCGAAAGAAGGCGCGACGCATTTCCTTACTGGCCAGGGTATAAATGATTGGGTTCATTGCAGAGTTGATGACCGCCAGAGCAATAAACCAGTTGGCTTTGTACAAGATAGAGCACTCCTTGACTCTGCAGGCCACATCGATGAGGAACAGGATGAAGAGTGGAGACCAACAGGCAATGAAGACACTAACGACGATCACGACAGTCCTAAGGAGCGCCATGGAGCGCTCCGAGTTGTTGTGGTTGGTGACATTGCGACTGCTGGACTTAACCAGTATGTAGATACGGGCATAAAGGATGACAATGGCAACCAAAATGGCTATGAAGATGCTAATGCAGAACACAACATACTTCTTGGAGTACAGAGGCAAAATTGTCGAGCAATCTGGTAAGTTGTTTATACAGTTCCAGCCGAGGATGGGTAAGGCACCCAAGGAAACTGAAATAAGCCAGCATGTACCAATGAGAAGGAACACCCTGTATTTTTTATTTGCGTCGTAGGGCCTCATTTTAATCATGGTTAAATGCCGCTCAATAGCTATGGCTAGCAAGCTGAAAGTGGAGGCTCCCAGGGCAACAAACATGCTGCCTTCTCTAATGAACCAGATTGTGGAGGATAAGCTCAGAGTCTTCTTCCCAGACATAAGAATGTTTACTTTGTAAACAATCCCAGCTAAAAGATCACAGAGAGCTAGATTGCCAATAAAAAAGTACATGCGGTTGTGAAATTTATTGTTTTTCCATATGGCAATCAACACCATCAAGTTTTCTAGGACTATGAAACTACATAGGATCAGAAATGCAATAGCAGGTAGGTCTATATTACCAGTTGCCTTTTCCCTTGAAATAAGCTTTCCTGTGTAATTATAATGCAGTACAATTAGAGAGTCCATCTCTTCATTTCCTTGAGGGCTGACAAGAGCATCAGGTGGCATGGTAACTGCTGCCATCATTTGTTCCCTGATGGATACTGGACTTTTCTTTCCTCAGTATCACAAGAATATAGTTCCAATAATTTTCCACAAGAGGGAGATCAAGCCACGCTCCTCCCAGCACTCCTCTGGGCAGGCGTTGTGTATCCCCAGCTCCAACAAGCCTTGCATATTAATTCGGGAGAGTGGCTTGCAAACCAGGCTCTGAAAATAAAACCAACAAATGCAACATAAATATCACCATCTTGCCATGTCACCCAGTGCTCAAGCTGCAAGATGCACCCAGGAACCAAGAGAGAGGGATGGTGACTGTGACAGGAAACTGAGGTAGAACATCGCTGCATGCCTACCAAGGCAGTTTAGGGTAGGTAAGTCCAGACACATTTTGGCTGCAGAAATATGAGGGCAATGTAGAGAACTGCTCAAAGGTGTTTCCCCCTATGAAATCTCTGGTTCCAGCAAGCCCCAGTGTGCACAGCAGACAGCTCACTGATCCTCCAAAAGACCTGAGTGCACATGGTGCTACCAAAACACCACCCGACCATCACTGCCTGAGCAGCAGCGGGGAAAACTCTCTGCTTTCTAAGCTTGTTCTTGTTCCCCATGCAGACTCGAGGCAGGAAAGATTCTGAGAAAGCTGGTGTCAAGTCTTGATGCCAGCATGCATGTTGCCAATGCCCAAAATAACTTCCCACCCTTAATAGTATAAAATTATGATATTTACAATTGAGAAGATGCACTGAAAGCCAATCATCATAAAATCAATCCTACTTCCCATTCAAATTAGTTGGATTTCTGCTACCTTTTTAAAAACAAACATAGCAAGTCATAAGTTTTGTTTTTCTTTATGGTTCACTTCACTTTTTTTTTTATCCCCATTGCATATGTATACAAGTCATACATTTAAAGTTTTTGTTTGTTTGTTTGTTTGTTTTTAAAAATAAAAAAAATAGTTACACCCAATTTAATTGTCCTTCTCAAAAATTCTGATTTTCTTTAAGTTACAACATAGAATGAACTGCAGTGTTTTCCCATGGACTTTGAGGTTCCATTTTTGCAGCAGATCCTTCAAACTTTTTTCAATAAATATCAGAAGAGGTCTATACAGCTTTGTAAAAATATCAGATGTCAGAAGCACTTACTCTTTTACCAAAAATGTAACAGTTTTGTCGCAGCATAATCCAATGACAATCAGGGTTTGTGCCCCAAATGTATGCACTGAGGATGAAAAAACAGCCAGTGTTTCAGTTTTCTATGAAAACTAGGATGGGGATGAGGAAAGAACTTGTTTCATCTGAACCAAATTTGTAATTTTTTTTTTTTCTGTGAAAGGTAAAAAAATAAGAATTTGTGCTGCATAGCAGGACAATTTCCATTGGCCCAAAATTAAGTATTTTAGTTTGGGGAATCTTTTAAGAGCTAGAGCTCTTAAACCATACCATTTATTTACTCAATGAGCATTTTCCAAGCACATTAAAGACACTTTCAAAAAAGAGGTATCAGGGGAAGGGGAGATGGAACTAGATATCTTTAAGGTCCCTTCCAATCCAATCCATTCTATAATTTTATGATCCTATACAGGTTTGTGAAGACCAGAAAAATGTGTGAGCCACTGCCAACCCAGCAGTCTGCTTGGGGCACTTAAAAAGTGAGAAATATATTTTCAAGTGTCTCTCAAGAGGATGAGGGAAGGAGCAAACCACATCCCAAAAGAATGTAAAGGGATTTAAGGGGATGACCCACACCCTATTTTTCTACTCTCTCTTTTTCTGGATTCCCTCCTTCAGAAAGGACATAATCTGACAAAAGCCTACAGTAAATTGACTTGAATTCTTTAGTACACTCAGGGTGTTTTAAAATTATTTTCTGAGAAAATAACTGGCTATTTACCCATTGTAATTTCCCCACTCTAGTTCATAGTTCCAAACTGTGGTGTCCTTGGTCCTTTTTTACTCTGAAGACGACAGCAACCACCTCATTCATTTCCCAGAAGCTGAACTGGGCCCTCGAGTTGTTAAAACTCTTTTCTGAAACATGGTAACAGTGAAGCTCTCAACAGAACAACTTCACCTCAGCTAAGGTTCAATGTAATTGTAATTCACTCACAATCTGCACACTGTTATCACATAAATTGTCACAGCCTTTCATTGTATTGGCTTATAACAAAATCCCACTGTGTCCATATGAATTGCAAGTGCTTTCCACTGTAAAATAAACAATTACATTTGACTTGAAAAGTGTTTGTTAATAATAGCTCAACCAGCAATACTCACCAGGCTGGCTGATGGCTGCCTGAGAGAATAATATTCCTAACATTTAGGAGCACCGCACATAACAAAAATAAATGTTTCTGGAAGTCTTTTTCAAGCCAGTTATCACACTGGTCTATCAAAGGGCAAATACATCTCTTTCTTTGAAGAAAATTATATGCCATACGTAGGAGTTTATCAGCCACAACTCAGCAGATGCAAACTGTCATGACTCTGCTAAAGGCAATGGTGCTGTACCAGTTCCCCTGGCTGAAGGCAAGGACGATGCACTCAATCAGCAGAAATCCTACAGGGTCTCTGCCACTGTTCGAAATTGCTTCTCTTAAAATTATTACAGCAAACTTAGTATCACAAAAGTAAGTCTTTGCCTCTGACAGGCTAGTGAGAAGGCAGTGAAGGTTGTAACATCACTATCTGCCGGGGCTCTCATGGAATGAGTATCACACATAAGACACTTGAAAGTTAATATAAATAATAATGCAACAAATTAAAATTTATTCTCTTCTGGCAGCAACATTTCCAAGTAATATCTTTTAGCCATACCCTTCTTATGTATTTCTCCTGCTTTGTAGCCAGTAACTCAGAAAGCAAAGTCTCTCTTTAGCAGTTAGAAAAATTGATGTTGGTTTTGCATTACAATAACAAGACAGCAACAACCAGGTCCGGGATAACCTGTGTCACTGCTTTGTGACAGTACCACAATTTACTCTGCAAGACACGTTTGCCCCAGTCACATACTAACTGCAAAGTATGGACTTCAGTTCGGAATATTTAAAAAATAACCTGAAGAACCTGCCTGTGGCCTGTTGTTTGCCCAGCACTGCCATGGTTAGGTACCTCAGCACCCCGAGCTCTTGAAACCACCGGGAATGAGTTTTATTCCCTCTAAAGCATGGCAGGGGATCCCAATCGCTCCACCAACAGGTACCACTAGAAAGATAAACCAACCTCTCTGCATTGCAGGGGCAGTCTGGCTGTGCTTCCTCACGGATCTGATGGTTAAAACAGCAACAGCTACATTACTCAAATAAAGGTAGTGGTACAATGTCAAGAACCACAGTCATGTGGAACCACAATCATGTGGAGGGCAAAATTCAGCTTCCTCCTCCAGCTATTTGGCTTCCCTACTCCAAGAGTGGAGAGAGCAGCTGGGGTCAGCCATGACCAAGATATCCCCCTCCTGGCTAATCTCCTGGCCCACCCCATGCTTTGGGGTGTCTGCAGTGGTTAATGTGGTCTCCTGCAGAGGTCAAGGATCCTAGTAGGGTCAAGCACCCTTTCAATTTGGAGCAGGGACTCTCTAGCATGGCTCATAAACCTAGATCCCACTGGGGTCTGCCACACATGCCATGAATAAAGCAACACTGAGTGGAAGGCCACAATCCCTTAACCTGCCCTATTGCAAGGCACATCTCCACTGCCCTCTCCAGATCAAACACGTAATGGTACAGGCAGAAACTCAGAGTCATACCTCTCACCAGCTCCCCTGGCCTGCAATTTTCCTCTGGGAATGTGTAATTCCCAATGCCAGGAGGCAGCAGGGAACTTGTGATAATGGGGACGCCAAAACCCTTCAGCGACCATCTCCGGTACATCTCTGCTCGCTGTTTCTAGCAGGCACTCTGGTTAAGAGTCCCACAGGGACCTGAGGGCTTTTACCATCTCATGAGTCGCTCTGTACTTTACATCTAAGAGAAATAAGAAATTTCTGTTTTCAAAAGAGTGAACCAAACTGCTCTCAATTTTCTGAAAGTCAAAGCAACAAGTGAGAACAAAGTGAGAATAGAACTTAACTTTTCACCATCTACTTTTACCTGCACAAGAACATATAATGCTACGCATTCAGTACAGTCACTGTAATTTGGCCAGAATTGTATTTTCCTGCTTTCCAAGTGGCCATGAACAGATTTGACCAAAGAAACTGGATGCTCCTTCATCACCACTACCCATATTGCAGTTCTCCCTTCTCTGCCGTGTCTTTGGCCACCAAAGAAAATTTTAAAAATGGCAAAGACAATAATACATATCCAAAGCCAAACTTTTTTGTATTTTATGCGTTTGCAAATGAAAAGTAAATGTAATTTATCAGCTAGTCTCATTAACAGAAAAGGCTTTTCAGAACAGCAGCACATTTCAATACACATTTCCACTGAAATTAAGCTGTGCTAGATGCAAATGAAGTTTAGACAATAAACATCTGTTGCAGAACAATGTCTTAGACAACTCAAATAAACGTTAAAAAGATTTTCTATTTAAGCGGATGTGCTGGCAGTTTACCCCTCAGAAAAACAAATAGTTACTTTTCCTGACTTCTGGCTCTTAGATATCAGTTTGAATTTTGTAATTCCGAGTAGCACACATGCACACCCCCATCACTCCCGGCTGGTTTAATTCTCGCTCGTTAAAGGGAACTCACTTGGACTTCTTTCCCCGTCTCCCAGCACTCCCGACTTACTCCCCCCGCCTCCGAACTCCGGGATTCCGTTCACAGATTTCCACTACTGCAGCGACTCGAACTTTCTGGAGGTGACAAACATCTTGCCTAAGTCACCCGACGTGTCCGCGGTCTCACAGAGCAATCACCGCAGTCCCGGGGCTCCCACGCGTCCCGTGCCCGCCACCGCGCCCGTACCAGGCACGGCCGGACCGGCACCGCTCTCGGGGCTCGGCAGGACGGGGACACCTCGCCCTCCTTCGCCGAAGCGGGACGGCCCCGGCGGGCGGGCGAGGTGCGGGCCGGGCCGCCCCGGAGCCCCGAGCTGCGCTCGCCGCGCTCACCCCGGAGCTCCGCGGCCGCCGCATCCCACCCCGGGGCTGCGCCGGGCAGGACCGAGCCGGGCCGGGATGGGATGGGATCACCCCGGCCCTGCCCGCCGCCAATCCCCGCAGCCTCCCCTCCCGGGTACCCCCCGACTGACCCACCTCCCCTCCGGGCTTTTCTCCGGCGCGTCCGCCCCCCTTGGGTCCTGCCTCGGGCACTCTGCTCCCGCCGCCACCGCCGGACAGGCTTCGCTCCCCGCTCCGGCGGCCCCTGCCTGCCCCCGTCCCGCCCCGCCTCACCCCGCCCCTTGGCCGCTCACCGTGCCCCATGCCCGGGGGAGCTGCGCCCCGGAGCTGGATGCTGCCGGCGGGGCTCGGCCGCGGGGAGAGCGGGAGGTTTAATTCTTACACGGCGCGAAGGGCAGCCGGGGTGAAAATGTGAGACGGCAGAGCCCGCCGGCGAGTATTTGTAGCGTCCATAACAATGCGTGGTGGAGGGGGGAAGTTCTGGGTAGGTCTTACTCAGCTCGAGCGATTATAGCGTTCGAGAGAGGTTTTACGTGTGTTGCATCTGCCCCTCTGTTTGACCGTCTCCGATAATGAGACCTTCAGAGAGCTTGAATCGAGAGGCACATGGCCAAGCACAAGTGCTTCTGGTTTGACCCAGAGCTGCCGATTACGGCGTGTTTCCTGGTAAGGTACCACTTGACAGAGTTATTGACTGAGTAATAACAACTCAAGGACGGCGGTAGGCACGCGGATTGCCCCAGTGACAGGAGCAGCGCTTCGGAAAAGAAGTTGGAACTTGGATCCTGCAACCGTCTAATTTAAAATGTACTTGTAAGATGCCAGTGGGTACAGCAAATCTTTCTGCCAAAATGTTTGCGGTGAGCTGGCAAACAGGAACACTACAACAACCTTGCAAAGCGCAGGCAGGCGTATAGGGTCGCCTAGTCGTCCCGGTGCAATCAGTGTTTTTCTTGAGAGCCTCCTGTCTGGACCTGAGCACTGTTGTACTCGGAGTCATGCCGCGGGCTCGGCTTTCAGGTCGCCTGCACTGCTGCTCTGCAGGGGAGAAATGTGCTTGAAGAAAGCAGAACTAGGCTTTTCATAGCCAAAAGTTTAAGCGGATGTAGCAGAACAAACTGCTACAGTGACTGCTTTTTATCTGTTGAAAAAGAGTAATACAACTCTTCTAGTTTAGGTCTTTGATAGGAAATAAGGACTACATAGGGCAAAATGATGGTGAATTTGGTTCAAAGCTGATGGACCCAATGGACACGACCTCACTTAGCTATGGATTGGACTATACACAATGTTTGATGGTCCTAGCCTTATCTCATGTGCTGTGTGGAAAGCTGCTTTCTTCTGTGGAATAGGAGAGGAGTGGAAAACTCCTTCCATGTCACGTAAAAGCACTCACCACTTTTAGGCAAAGGGAGCCCTGGCCTGTGAATCATTGCTCTCCCATTGCTCAGCAAAGCCTTGTCCTGCAGATTCCCTGAAAACCACCCCACAAAGGTCTATAGTTCTCCTGGTAGCTGCTTGCTACATACCATCAGGACCCAGTTCTTGTAGAGCAGATGTTTCAGTGAGCAGGCACTAGCTTGGCTCTGTGTTCTCCTATTATTGTTCTTTTCCATCTTTTCCCTTTGCTACCTTTTACCTACTTGGAGAAGTGAACCAGAAGAAATAGTCATTCTGATCAGGCTGTCATAGATGAGGGGAC